ACTCGGGGTAGGTCAGGGATAGCTAGTGGTGTATCCCCCAGTTATACGGGTGAGGGGGCCGATACCCCCTCTAGTGCTGTCCTGTCGTGACGACTTGTAAAATAAATACACGTGTGCCTCAACCTCGGTGTCAAGCGTCCTCACCGGTACTTCACAGACAAAGTTGTCTCTTCGCAGGGCAATGTGCAGCTCTGATGGGGACAGCCATAACCCGCTGGGGGCAATATCGGGGGGCCCACGTGGTGGACCGGGGTCACGTGCAAGTCGATGCATGAGCAACGGCTCGGCTCCCGTGGGACCCGGCATCACTTTGCAGCAACCCAAGTGAAATGCAACAACTTTACTGTCATCAAGTAAAATATTTATTCCAAGAGTGCAATGTTAATGTCACCGAGTAAATTACCAATTCCAATACACAGTTGTTGAATAAAGATCCAATTAAATGTACATTTTCAATTGCAAATAATCTCAAGTTTTCATCAACCGTACAAATAAAAAAACAAAAACACTTTAGCGGACTATTACAGGGGAACGTTTGGTCCAGCCACCCTTGTGATGATAGCCAATAGCAAAATTACATTATAAAATGAAATGACCAAATGCATTGAATTTATGTTCTTAAATATCACACACGTTTGCCTTGAATGTATTCAACTCTGAGCTTATTTGAATTTATTTCCTAACAACAATTTTGGCTATTTGTTTAAGGCATACAGACATCGACAAAAAAAATGTACAGCTTTGTATTGCATCTCCTTCCCTGGGTTTTAAAATCATGGCACAGGAAACAATGGCAAATAGAACGACAATGCACACCGCTGACCAGGTTTCCATGAATGCATCCTCAATGTGAGTTTTCTCCCCTCACCACCAAATTCAGTGAAAGAAAAATGTAGCTATCGTTTGAGACGTTTTTATACCAACACTGGCACAAACACATACCAAACTCCCAACGATAGCCAAGTGGACATCCTTACAAATTGTACAGGTTTTTTTATTATCAAAGTAGAAATATATTTAAAATTCCTAGAAAATGTCAGAAAATGGCCATTTTATAAGATTTAAATTACTTAAATTATAAGTAAACAACTAATAACATTTCCGCTTATAAATATGCCATTTTGAGTATACAGTACAACTTCCAAACAAAAGATTTTTAGTCTCTTTGCTCACAAAACCCAACACTGACACTCAAACAATGACTGTGTTACAACTATGAAATACTGTGCCTAGGGGACGACATCACCTGGAATGCACCCGATCACGTTCGGTCTGGGAAGCTAAGCAAAGGGTTGAGAGCCTGGAGAGTGCTTGGGAGCATTAAAAGCAGGCCTGGTGATGCAGGCCTGGTGTTGCAGGCCGCTGCCGGGCCACATCATCATCATCAGGGCTCGGTTTACACGCCCCCCGTCTTCACCGACCCGCACTGACCAGCCTGGTGAACTACGGCCAAATAACCACCGTGACTTGCAGTGCGGGGATGCCCTCATCCAGCAGTGGACTGACCAAACAAAGGGCTTTACGTCTGCATGAAATACTGTCGATGATGGTGACATTTCAGGCGATTGGGAGGTGGCGTGGTGAAAGAGAAGGGCGAGGAGGATTGACGCCTGCGTCGTCATCGCACAGCCCACAGTGCCCCACACCCTGACATTCTGACTGCAAACACGGGCAGCCGCATGTGAATAACGAGATTACTGTATAAAGCACAGTGCGATCTGACAGCTTCGACCGAGTCACCAATGACCGCATAAAACAAAAAGCGTAAAATGTGGGGTTTCATCGGCCGGCCCGTAATAACGGGACGCCCAGGTGTGGGTTCATCTTCTGGGATCGGTCTCCGCAGTCTCACGATGCTCCGCTAAAGGGGAGTCCCCACAGGATTCTTCCTCACGACGCGACTCCATAACAAGGATATCGTAAGTGACGAAAACTTATTGGTGCAAAATATTGTTTTTCCAAACAAATCCCATGTTGACATAATCAGGTACAACCTATTACGATTCCTTTTTCTTAAAAAATAAAAAAATGTATCTGCACGTTTTAGTGGTCAACTTGTTGGATTCTACTAAGATTTGCTAAATTGTGTTTGCCTGTCAATGTTAACCACACTCGATGGTCCAACTCTGGATTAAGACACAGAAGACCTTCACGCTATAGAAGATCCATTCTCTACAAACTTCTCAAGATGTCTAGAAACGAAGGATCACGAGTGATTGACTGTATTTTATGTGGCGATCTAGAAGCAGAGAGATAATGTTCACATCTTATCACAGTTGATAGTTCATCATTTAGTGGCCGTGTGGTTAATGCCCCTTTAGGAACACTGGCTTACTTTCATGCAATTTTCACTCCCCTGTGATTTAACTGTCCTTAAACTCTGGTGATTGGGCTCAATTATAATACAAGTAATGTGCAACAATAATTCCCGACCAGTGGAGCCAAGTTCAGCTCCAGAAAGAGCTGTGCAACTTACAGATACCGATGTGGCCGTGAGATCTAACATGCCAACCCTCCCCCTGTGGCTGCCCAATGCCAGTTGCCCCTCCAAAACAACTTGGTTCCAATGCCTGCTTTCAAGTGTAACGGCTCACTCTCCCCACTACTGGACGCAAAATAAAGCATAATGGGTTTTCACATCATTCGGTCGTTTCGTGCTTGAGGCCTAAACATGTTGGGACAACGCTTTTGATGGCCCAAAACAGAGCACCATTTGGGTGCTCGTCACGCGAGGCTCATGACTTCACAGTAGTTCTGTGACATCAACTTTCACAATCCGTTCCCAGACATGATACGAGGTACTGCTCACCGCAGGTTCTGGAAAGGGCATGTGTTCGACTCGTGATGCGACACTGAGAGCACAATAAGAAAAGGGAAATTTAACAATCCTAAAATATGTATGATAGTAAGCAGACACTTCCGTTTTACATAGTCTCGTTCGATTCCAATGCTATCGTTGCACACGACTTGTACACAGGCATATCTGTACCACTGCCATGGAAACTAAATCTGCTGACAACTCCCGAGCCTCCTTGGCAAGAGACACCTGCGGTAAAACACCAGAAAAAGACTCCGTGCTGAAAATAGAACAAAAACAATGGCGAGTAAGTTGTGCGGACTCTGGGTACGCGTGCTCCATTTCCTGCCTCACGTGCACCACAAGCCATGGGCCACAGCTGTCCACCAATGCAGTCAACCGCGCGTGCTCAACAAGCGCAATGACATGCCGCATTATCGGATTTTACAATTATCCCCTGAAACTGCTAAACTTGATCACAGCTGCCGTTCTAAAATGATCTTCCGTCCCAAGGCGATATCTTGTCGTAACGAGCAGGGGAAGAGGCTCTAACCCTGGGCCCTGCAGGGTAATCGTCAAGCTGGAGCAAATGGAAAAATAATCCAATTAGTTTCTATTTGTCTCTCAATGTCAAATTAAAAAAATATAATAAAAAACCTGATAATGAATATGTGCTTTTAGCAATATGGTTGGATGACTATTAACATAAAATTCAACAGGCAATCCATTTTCATTCAACAGTTGTGTGGACTTGAAATTCATACCAATTAGTTTCAGCTAAATGTACAATTGGCTAATCTTAAAAAAAACATTACCGGTGTGGGTTTTACAGTGCTAACTTGGTCAATCAATCAATCCAGGACCATTACATTTAAATCCAATCAGCTATCGTACTGAGCGCAAGTTGGCGGGAGTTTGTGTCTCACAGTTACCGAGAGCAGACCACGAAAGATGGCTCCAGCGATGTCAGTTGAAAAAGCGTCTCTGCCAATTTCTGTAAAATATCTGCCAGCAGCACTTTGGTGCAAACCTATCCATGTGAATACTTAAAGCTTTTTGTCATAATTAACTTGTTTTAAGTATTTTACTAGTCGTTGTAGATTAAGTGTCTATTTTGTCATTCAAAAGTCAAAGTGATTAAACATGAACAATTCTATCATTTAACAAAAATTACGCGAATAAACACTTAGCTTATTTAGAAATGTGAATGGTTTTATGAGCTTACATCATATTTTAAGAATTGTGACACCTGAAAATGGTAATTCTCTGAAACTTTATAGGGACATTTTAACAAGTAGCTTTTTTAAAGTTAAATGGGTACACAGCAGAAATACAGCAATCCACGTTGATATGGGGGGCGAACATTATCACAGATCCTGTCACCGGCGGTGCACCGTGGAGGTCAGACTTATGTTACCGCTGTGCGAACACGCGCTGTGCCGCGCATTACGGGAAGAATTGGCCACGCGGTTCCATTCAATCGGCAGACAATTAGCGGATTATGTTACGATGTTTTCTAAGGTGCACATTTTTTTCTAAGGCACCATATGGGGTACACTTGCAAATCAATTGTGTGCAGCTTGTAGACTTGATATTCAAGGGTAAACATTTAAAAGTTTTTGTCACTAAATTGATCAAGTCAGGAAAGCCGGTCTATGGTGATACAAAACCAAAAAATATTTTTTTTGAATCAAAAAAATTACTGCCACGCTTCCCTGCCACTCCGCTCTACAGCTCCACGCGTTGGCCCTGGCGATATCCACGGGTAGCAGGAGTTTGCGGTGGACAAAGCATTCTCAATCCACCACAGTGTGCCGTAGGTTACAGGAGCAGTTGCAAACCGCTAATAATCCGCTAATTACAGAGATTTTCAGATGATTGGATCACGATTTCCATTTAAAGCTTTCGTGACTGCGGGGATTCATCTTCTTGGTTCTTTCGGTAAAGTCACGTAGAAGGGAAATAATAAAATAATAAAAATAAAAGATTATAAAATTATTCTCACGACGTTTCGGTCACAACGCAAGCAGCCGTCCTCAGGTGAAGAACAGGTCTGTCGGGAAGACAGCGTCTGAACATTATCGCAGACACTGTCTTCCCGACAGACCTGTTCCTTCACCTGAGGACGGCTGCTTGCGTTGTGGCCGAAACGTCGTGAGAATTATTTTATTGTGTTTTATTTTTATTATTTTATTACTTCCCTTCTACGTGACTTTACCGAAAGAACCAAGAAAATGGATCACGATTATTGGAGTTCTGCTGTATATCTTTAAAAAAAAAGACAATGGTCTAGTTTGAATGTACGCAAGCTCGAGTCTTCGACCAGTGTGTCAGATGGCTTAATTCATTTGGTATATGAGTGTGCAGGGTACAGTATAAGCTTTGCCATTCCCTTTTGTGCACTTCCCTGAACTTTTGGCTACGTGACTATTAGTTGCTATGAAAAATCCATTTGAAAAATGTTTCAGGCAGCATTATCAAAAACGTGCGTATGCATCATCCGCAATCAATAAGACTCGGGCAACACACGTCGGCGATAAACTGGGTCCACTCTGAACATTTACACCGCACGCGACTCGTCCCGATAAGGAAACCGCTCTCCTCTGCAAAATCGCACAAGAAATGGTAAATGCTCAATTTATACTGCATCAAATGTTCAAATAATACTTTTGTGCACATAAAAAATAAACGAAATCAAAGTACTGCACATTTCAATCGTGACTTCCATCACAAAGAGCAAGGAAAACGCATGCGCTACCCCTCCCAGTCCGGCTTTGTCCACGACTGCGTGACGTCCTGCATCCTGGCTCGCTGCTCCGTCTCCCACTCCACAAACGCGTCGAAGAGGCTAGGCCACGCCTCGTCTTCGCTGTAGTGGCTCAGGTCGGGCCCCACCGTCTGCGCAAAGTTCAGGAACATGTTCCAGGTGTCTCGCGACACGCCGCGCACGCTGGACGGGTTCTCCTCCAGGAAGCTCAGCCAGCGGTCGAGCACGGGCGGCCGCCGGTGCTCGAACACCAGGCGCCACAGCGCCAGCGCCATGTCGCGCGGCAGCGAGCGCTGCCCCTCGTCGGCGTCCAGGCCGAACTGGAAGGTGAAGCGGTAAAGGTCCTTGAAGCGCTCTTCGACGCGCACCTCCTCCATCAGCTCGGGGAAGCGCGCCTGGATGGCCTTGGCCGTGTCGGCCTGCAGGGCTATGCAGCCAGCCACAAACTCGGACCTGAATGACAAAGACCGAGATCCGCCATGTAGCTAATTAGGAACTGTTTCCGGCAAGTGAACCTTACGGCGGTACCCCGGCTCTCGCACAATGTCCGTGATGCAGTCATTTTTAGTCTTTTGATGGTCGGCGATGCGGCAATCGACTCATCTCGACGAGCTGTACACGATGCACCACTACGGTGCGTTCGTGCGTTCAGGGTTTCAGCGCAATCGTCCTCGCTGCGTTTCGACAACGCGGAGTGGCACTGATTTCGGATTGATTTGTACCCCAGTTGCGGAGTTAAGTACACCCCTGGAAAAAATAGTGTCCCAGAAATAAAATATTTAATTGCCTCGGCCACTTTGTATTATTTGGTACCCCAGGGTACCGGCATCAGGATCAAGTGCTGCCCGCAAGCTCCTTTGAAGGCCGGAAAGGCACGCCAGGGGGTGGGGGGGTGGTCGGCACCATGCCTGGCCGACTATGTATGAGGCACTTATTTAATGAGACCTAGGGGAGGCAGAGGACCGGTTTGGATATTTGTTACCGATGTTAGCCATGAGGAGGAATCAAAACTTGGGTGATCATGTCCGTTGCGCAGCACGCTAACCACTGCACTACCCTTGCCCAGGTTGTCCTTATGACAATGCCAGTACACACACGGGGGACAAAGACATAGCCAGCGTAAGCGTACAGTGATCCGCATTGTTTAAAACGACACGACCAGTTGAATGCGCTGTTATAACGTTTGGTTACGTAAGTTTAGGCTTTCTGTATCCGTGTTCAATATAAACACGCGATGTAAGCTTTACATGTGTTTTGATTATTAGACAGGGATGTGACTGGCTGGGACAAGAACATTTGGGATAGGTAGTTAAATGCATTGCGCAAACCTGAGCAGGGGATGAGGTGGACATGAGAGTAAGGGGACAGAAGTAGCAGGTGGCTTATAATTACAATTTATATTTCTAATTTGTTTTGGTTCATGTTTAATGTATTGCTTCCTGTGTCTCTCTGGTACATCCTGTTGCATGAAGAGATTCTACAGCCCGACTGGAGAGGGACTATTTTTAGAAGCCTAGTTCAATATTAACAAGGTTCTCCATTGACGGATGCATGTGAAAATGAATGACATTCTTACAATTATTTTAATACAATTTGAACATTGACCTGACCCTCTCTCTGTACGTTATTTATATTGTTGAATGGTTGGCCGCGCTGCGCTACGAACCCGGCTGACCCGAGTAAAATTCCCAGCCATGTCTAGCGCCAGCAGCAAGTAAATGTCTAAAAGCAGAGTTGGGGGCCACCCAATTCACCAATCTGCAAAGACTACCGCGGTTGACTGACAGAGCATGGCTGAGGCCTCTACCCAGCAGTGGACTGTTGAAGGGCCAAATGTGATAATTGTTATTACTCTGTAATGTCCAACCCCAGCGGGCTTTTTATATCATCAAATATATTATTAAGCTAATGTTTGGGGCAAATTGAGGAGTCTGGCATTGGCCTTTGATGTAATTAGCGATAAAGACGTTCTTAATGACACATCTGCACACAGTGTCACTGGAAATAAGCCCAAACGAGATTGATTTCTGCTAAATGTCCAGCGTTGGTAACGTGTTACTGTAATCACATTGCCACAGGGAGATAAATGTAATCCTGCATCAGTTTGTAATCACATTACCATTACTCAGCATGTGCTGGTTAAACACGTTTTTTTTGTGGTTGCTCTAATTTTTTTTCCTTTAAAAATATCATAACAACAATATTAATGGGAAAAATGGTCATGTTTGCTACAGTATAGGATTTTATAACGAGTTTCTATAGAGTGCCAGTAGAATTCGTTGCCGATTTATCTCAAACTCTCACCCAGTTCTGCCGTAGTAAATGCAAGACAGAAACGTTTAGTAAAGTTGACAAAGCAGCAACATTGTGCCTTCCTTCGTGATAGCCTTTGTGCTGTAAGAATGGAGCGAATATGAAAACGCACATATTTATTTAAAACTCTCCAGTCTCTTGATACTATCTATTTGATGGACTAAGTGGCTGCCTAAACCCCGAGTGGAGAAGTGTATAGACTGAGTGGCGCATACGCTGAGTGGTACAGATGTATTGGACACAGAGTAGAATTGTAACCTGCATGTCCAGGTGCTAGATTTCAGGCATCAAATGTCTGGATGGGGGGGGGAAGTGCACTTTGTAATCCGGAGAATAAGGTAATACATATCACAATGAGCTTTCCAGATACATGTAGACAGCTCGTGACTGGACCTTGTTTCAAACACCAGGTGACCGGGCAGTAACTGTTTAACAAGCCCGCTACCCTCTGTCGATGAGAGCCAGCTCTCTATTGATCAAGAGATTACTGTCTCTGTGTGTACTCAGCTGGTTATGTATAAAGTGTGTCTCGCATCGTACATAACCAACCGTGCTCAGCGGAGGTGCGGTGGAAGGACAACGAACTAAACACAAATAGCAGTTCTAGAGAAATGAGATTTCAATCTATGTTTAAAAGTGCATGGCTGCAGTGGCTTCCTAATATCGGAAGGAAGAGCGTTCCAGATGGCCACAGAACCGCAAGCAAGATTACACTTCCCTCCCAGGGTTTGCCCTGTTTAACAATACAGGGATACATTAACACGGAGGGCCACGATTGGTGGATTAAATTACTGTTGTTTGATTTTTACAATTCAATAAATCCTTGACCTGATTTTATTTATATAACGCAGAATGCGTCGAAGCAGCACACGGTGAGAATTTTACTCCCATTGCTGCAACCTTCTTGGCCTCGTGCTTCACATGCAATGATGTTGCCTACAACATCAGAGCATCCATTCAGTAATATCAATTTATCAGGCGACTCCCACGAACAAGTACTGTATATGGAATTACACGTGCAGGCAGGCCCTGCTTAGCGCTCATAGTGTGTTCCAGAAATAAGTGAGTGCTAATCAAATCGGCGCTCTAAGGGGTCACTATACCCCATTGTATATATGGGGATACGTTCCTGACGGTGTTATTTATTTTGTATAAGCAATATAAGAGGGCGTTCATGGGGATATCGGTAATAGCGTTAACAATGATACAGATGGTAAAAATTATTTCATAAATGATAACCATTTTCATAACATCAGTAGTATGTACTGTACTCGCGAGTGCATTAAACTGTGCTCCTCTTACAAGGCCGCAGTGGGAGATGAGGTTTGAAGAGCTGCTGCTCTCACTATCCGGGTCACTGTCAGCGAAGAGCTCCAAGACCTCCGTGATCTTAGTGAAGCCCCTCAGTTTACATTTCTGTGGTGCAGATTCTTTGTGGTGGAGCCTCAGACTCGATACTGGTCTCGTGAGTTCTCACCTGGCTACTATTGAAAAAACTATTTTTTTAAACATATATAATCTTATTCTTAGGTTTTTTTCGGTAAAGTCACGTAGGTAAAACATTAAAATTAGTAAAAGTAAACTAAAATAAAAATCACGACGTTTCGGAAGCAACACAAGCCTCCGTCTTCAGGTGGAACCGTCACAGCCCGACAGCTGTATCAAGTAAATGAGAGATTACAGGAGATACCACTCCGTATATATAATGGTTGAGGGGGGGGGAAGGGGCAGGGATGGCCCACTCTTTATTGTTATGGTAAAGTGCGGTTTGAGACTATGAATAGACTGCATATATAATCTTGACTACGAATCGTGATCATCAAATCGCGGTGGGAGGGGTCTGGATGGCTCAGAGAGTCTGTTGCTCTCATGGGTTTCATTCATCATGGGGGCGGGTCGGTTTCCTTGGCCAGCACTGCGAGTTCTCACCCGTAAGCGCTTTTTGGATCTTTCTTTATTTTTTGTTAACATTTTTTTCTCCAGGACAAGGAGCGCTATAACGAATCAGCGTTCTACAAGGTCGCTCTAAGCGAGGGTCTGCCTGTACATGTACAGCTTGACGACAGTCCACTACTGTATGAGGGTCTCCCAATTCCACACGAGTCATGAGGACAGTTTGACCATATTCACCACCATGGTCAGGATCAGGCATCACCACTGATATTAGCTATGGCCTGGAATCAAAACTCAGGTTACTAGATTCAAAGTGCAGTGCGCTTAGCAATGTGCCACCACTCCACAGAAATTGTACAGCAAAACCTCGTTTAACGCGGTAGACACGTTCCTGAAAATGCCGCGTTTCGCTAAAAACACATTTAGCGAAAACAATTTCCCTATAAATAATGTAATGGTAATGTTTGGCGAGATACGATGTACACACTCACAGTAAGATGGCGGGACAAATAATTGAGGGTACGCCGCCGCGTTACTGTTATTCCGCCTACTATATCGTACCGCTCAGCCACGCAGCTCAAATAGTTTGTCGTTGACTGCTCAGAAATGGCGTGATAATGGTGCGCGTTCCGCATTATAACGGGCATGTTGCACGTTATAATGGGCACGTTCCGCATTGTTCCCTAATGGAAGAACCCCGTTATCGTGAAAGCGTGTTATGTGCACACGCATTAAGGGAGGACTTACCGAATATGATGAAACAATTTACCTATGACCAAATCACCCAGAATGCACAATAGGTGTTAAAGGATGCAAGGATACGTGGTGGGTAACAGAGGGTCAGTGCAGACAAATCTACTCTGGTACTGTACTTCTATATTCCTATATCAATGCTCTCTGCGTTCCCCAACTCGCACTGGCGAGTGTGAAGTGTTATCAAGTAACCCCACAACCCACAAGGCACCAGGAGGATCTCATCCAGCAGCGAAATGACACATGGGACGTACGCGCACGTACGCGTTCACATCACATTGATAGATAACCCTCGGTGCCTACATCATCATCGTTTGCTCGTGTCGCGTGAGCCACCTCACCTGGTGAACCTGCACATCGTCGCCGCTTTGAACTTCCAGGCCATGACGAGCACGATGAACTCGGTGGGGTCCACAGAGAGGTCCTGGCAGAACTCCTCCATGCCCTCGGCAAGGATGGCGTCCTCCCTCTCGTCCTTGTACTTGTTGAAGAGGGCATGAGCGCGAGCCAGCGAGAACTCCGACTCGTGCAGGCCGGGCCCCGAGTTCCGGGGTGAGCGCTCGTCCTGCGACAGCAGCATGGTGGTGGACAGGTCTCCGCTGCCCGGTTTGGATAGGTGCGCCCCGCCCGTGCGCTGCTCGCACGTGTCCAGCGTGGAGTCGGCGTGGCCGGATCGTTGGGGACTGGCGCCGCCGTGCACTCGTTTAGACTTTTCGGCGGCGCTCGCGTTGCTCTTGCTTGGCCACGCAGACGCACTAGAAGAGCTGGCGTCCCGTTGGCAGCGGAAGATGCACTGGCCCATTGCTTTGGCCCGTTCCCCACGTGGCTTCTGTGCCTACTACCACCACTCCTACCCTCACTCTCAAGGTCGCTCGAGGGCTATGCAGCTGCACATCAAGTCCAAGTCAAGGCCTCCTGGCCGAGACGTAAAAGTAACTTTGTTTGACATTCCGAGGTTTGATAAACATACCTTCCCCCATATATTGCACATGGTCGCATGCATGCGTGCATTGGCGGGATCAACTGACCATCTCTGCAATTTGTTCATTCGGCGTCCAAAGTCGTTAGAACATCACCAGAGACAGCTTCAGCAACTCCGTTTTTTTCTGGCTTGATCGATATCTACAAAAAAAAATTGGAGGCAGACCATTATAGGCATATATTTTTAAAATAATCAGTCCTGCATGCTTTTGTGCTAAATTTAGACACCAAACAGCAATCAAGGTACAACAATGCTGGCACAATTTCTGATGAAAAATACATTTTGAAAAAAAAAAATGGAGGCAGAATAAAATGGATCATATAGAATAAAAAGTGGTGGGTAACATTACCAGAGAGGAATGGTGGCGTAGTGGTTCACTCACTGTGCTACGAATCAAGTCACGAGTTTGAGTCCTGGCCACAGCTAAGGTCAGTGGCAAATAATATCTGAATGGGATAATAGGGGAGAAGGCATGGCTGACAATGAAGATCGACCTCATCGACAGGATGGGATGCCCTCAATATACAATTAACTTTGCATATGGGTAACTTAAGTATAGCTTCAAAAATCTATTATAATTACACGAAATGAGTCTCTTGTCAATTGACTTTAATTCAGTCCTCAAGCTCCACCTAACTACTCGGATCCTCTCCACAAGCTAACCTCAGTGAGTTGGCCACACGTTTAAACTCGGTTCACGCACACGCTGACTACAGATATTGCTGGCGTGCCCTTGCTGGCGGCTTTGGGCGGTGGACATGGCCGAGTAGCCGCGCGTTTGCTGCTTGATTTATGCTGCGGGTGAGTAAGCAAAAAAAAACCGTCACATCACTCACAGTGGACATTTAAGATCCCATGATATTTTTCGAAAAACAGTAGGATGTGTTTGTTGGCGGCACAAACCAAAATTCATCACCTTTGAAAATTACTTGCAAATTACCCAATTCGATAAAAGCGATATACGAACTTCGTTCCCTCAAGTGTGAAACCACAGCAAATTATAATTGTCTTTGAAACAGAGAGCCCCCGTGACAGCCTTGCGTGCTATTCAAATGGTGCTAATGCGAATGGTAATCATGATGGCTTTATTCCATTTGACTGAGCTTGCCTCTCAAGGCTTTGATTGCTCGATAGTATTTTGCCTTGGCTCGCCCGAGTGGGCTACAGGATGGTTTATTACCCCAGACCTCTTTGCATCCCTGTACGCCAACGATTTCATCATGAATTCCCTTACCTCTTCACTCCGGGAGGCTACACAACATTAATCCTATATAGCGCTGCCGCCGCCACAACGTTATATTTTATTGGGCACAAAGGGAGAGAAATGTATGCTTTTAAGGGTGCCACGGTGCAGATGGAAACTACCTCCCCTGGTATACAGGTTGTGGGTTTATCCCCACCCTGACGCCCGTATATTTGGAGTTTGCATGTTATTTCCGTGGTTGCATGGATTTTTCTCCCGGTCCTCTGGTTTTTCCCTCCACATTTAGAAACATGTGCTTCGAGTATTTGGCTGCTATAAATTTGCATTTGATAAGTCACTTCTTTGAGCTATCGTTTGTGGCCAGGTTGTTTCTGAAAAAGAGCTCTAAGGCTCAGCAGGCCTTGCCTGGTAAAAAATATTTTACGTAGGGGTTTCAATCATCACTCCCTTTAACATATATTTACCAGTATTCTTAATTCATGTTTACATTTAGGCAATCGAACTATGTTTTTGTAAAAGGAGTTAAGGGTCAAATGAAATAAATGAGGAAACTATGTTTTCGAAGGAAATGACGTCCACAGAATTTCCCACAATTAACTTTGTTCTCCTTCAGTTGGGTCAAGAGTAATTGTCAAATTTAGGAATTGGTCAATTACAGTGACGTAAAAAGACATGCTGCTGCAAATGTTATCAGGCGGTCTACAATCGACGTGGTGATCAGTGCACAGACCACGAAGCAACTGAGTGCTGTATGTGAATGCACATACACCCATTGCATTATAAACATGCAAAAAAGTTGACTACTGGGTAGTATGAGAACTGCAGTACTGGAAAACACTGGCCAAAAGTATTTAAACGTTCTACAAGCTGCATGGATTAGTATGGTGGTACAGTGCAATACATTGTTAAGAAAGAAAACCTATGGTTTTAGCTGTTCCATTTCCACACTGTGCAGAACACACAAAACGGATACAGAACCTACACAATACACACCCTCACACACAGTGTGCAGTTTCATTTCTAGGCATAGAACATTTGTGCAAGGATAGCACAAACAATTCCGAATTTAGACTCTTCTAGAGAATTTTCCTGGCTGTGGCTTAGCATAACAGATTGTGTTTTAGGTTAAAACAAAATACGACTGCGTGGAATACATAAACTGTTCCCATCCATAATGTCATCTGCTTCTTTCTGCCCACTGACAACATGCCTCAACAATCTGACTTGGCTTTGATCCTGCACTTATAACCTAAATTGTGAAAACGTGTAAAAAGCTTCAGTGGCATTTTTTGGCAAGTTTGAACAATAAAAATGCTTATTTACCAGCTGTTAGCTCGATTCTCATTTAACACCATGAATATGCCGACCAGCTCATATATACACCGAAGAGTTTGCCGCCTGCAGTCTAATTAATTCTTCTTTCACTGGCAGAGACATATGGCTGACACGTGACTGCTGACAACAACACTGTATAAATATACATCAGTGTTGACAATGATGAAATCTCTCGCAGTACTTGGAATTACTGACAACCCCTCCCTCTCTCCTCGCCCCACCGTCTTCCTGAGTCCACCAGCATCACCTCCCATGACCTGCACTACAGCCTGCAACTCCAACATTTCTGTCACCCAATCTCCATCCATTATCCGTGACGCAAGAACCAAAATGCGGCAGGAAACCCTCTGGTTCACAGTATCGCCAACCAGAGGAAGCGTTCAATGTTTACCCCACCCCCTCAGAAGGTGAGAAAAGAATAAATAGCCTGCGCCACGTCCAATTAATGTTGAGTGTAGACAAATTTGTATCAGGGGTGACATGAGGCAAATGCTACTAAACAAATCTTCTTGCCTTCCTTCTTTGGGACCAAAATTACATCACTACTATAATAAAGCTGTTTGCTCTCCCCGATATGCTAAACTATATGGGGCTCTGGGTAACAGTAATAACTTTGGATTGACTGGCCAATGAACAACAAGATCCCTGGATAACAAACACATTGGCGAGAAGGAAGAGTAAAAAACTATAGTTTAACACGTAGGCTTTCGCGACCAATGTTATTCAAATTGTAAATGTTGTGGCTTCAACACACCGGTGGGCTAAAGCAGTGAACTATTTGTCTTTGTCAACGTGACACTTTTTTACTGATTGGCCGTGTCGGGTGGTGGAGGGTTACGACACATTTATAAATAAACGCGATCTAAACCCAAAAACGTTGATTATGAATAAAAAACTATACTCTGCCAGCTCGTGCCCATTTGTCAAAGAAACCCTGCAACAGAAATTATTCTCAATGCTTGGAAAAAAACGTGGTCGGGGAAGCAATTTTGCTACAAATGACAAAAATATTACAACTCGCATCGTCTCGATTGAAAATGCATTTCTTTAGAACTGCTTCTTGTGTTCCGTTCCTTGTCCTTACCGCGCGCGTCCGATTAGCACGGTTGGTTAAGTACGGTGCGAAAGAAGTTCAACATACACACACATACATCACGGCCCGCAGTGTCACGTCTGACGACTGTCAGCTTACAAATTGTCAAATGTTATCCTGTAATAGCTCACAAATGATCACAGCTCACAAAATGCCATAGATTGTCATAGGTTATTACAATTGTCCCATTTCACACGGCCCCTTCCCATGCCATCACAGGTCACATTGTAAGAGGTTACACTGCAAGAGCTTACAAATGGTCACATCCCACTGCAACGTCTCACACTGAATGGTTAACATTGTAATTACAGGTGTGCCGCAGCTCAGTGTCACAACTCACCTCGTCACTTCTAAACACCGTCACATCTCACTCTAATCTCACACTGCCAACAATATTGCAACACCCAACACTGTCGCAGCTTACACTTGTAACAGCCCACACTTACAATTCACACTGCTCTCACACTGCCAGAGTCCACAGTGACATCCTGCACTGTGACACATATCTCACCGTAACATCTCACATTGTAACAACTCGTGTCAGCTCGCAATGTCATTGCTCACGCCGTGACACATATCTCACCGTGGCATCCCACATTGTAACATCGAGTGATACCTCGCACCGTGACAGCTCACGCTAACTCACACACACCCGCGCAAAAATGCCTCGCATGCTGGTTCACTGTCCAGACAGACTCTCGTGTAAAATATCGCTCGCACTCCATCACATTTCGTGGAACAGCACAGGCAGTACCAGCAGTACAAAGGAGACGACACAGATGAGATGGAACAGGCAGTGCAAACACAACAGACAGCACACACGAGGTGGTGCTAAACGAAGAACGCGGACGCTAAAGACGAGATCTGCAGTACCCACCACGAGACAGCACAAATGAGACGACACAAAACGACGCAGGGCAGCAGGAAACTAACTCTACAGTACAAACGAGAGAGTACGGCAGAGACAGCAAGACGGCACCCGCAGTACAAACAGGTCAGTACAGATATGGCATTGGAAGCACACGCAGGTCACAAAGTACACACGAAGCTAGACGATGCGATCGAGACCGACAATGCAGTACCACGGAGCACGTGCGGGCAAAGGAAACGGCAGAGACGACGCGACAGGCGGGACAGCCAGCACGGGCAGTACCCGTGCCACACAGTACCCGTGCCACACAGTACCCGTGCCATACAGTACCCGTGCCATACAGCACACACGAGACGACGGGACAAGCGGGACAGCCAGCACGGGCAGTACCCGTGCCACACAGTACCCGTGCCACACAGTACCCGTGCCACACAGTACCCGTGCCACACAGTACCCGTGCCACACAGTACCCGTGCCATACAGCACACACGAGACGACGGGACAAGCGGGACAGCCAGCACGGGCAGTACCCGTGCCACACAGTACCCGTGCCACACAGTACACACGAGACGACGGGACAGCCAGCACGGGCAGTACCCGTGCCACACAGTACACACGAGACGACGGGACAGCCAGCACGGGCAGTACCCGTGCCACACAGTACCCGTGCCACACAGTACCCGTGCCACACAGTACACACGCAACATGCACACGACAAGTTTCATCCGCGACAGCGTCACGGGCAGTGAACGAACGCGGCTAAACAAAGGCCACAACGGGCAGTCACAGACGGCAGCGGCAGTCTACACGCGGTTAGAGAGGCGGCGCAAAGTGCCTGTTGTTAGCGAGCGCCTATTAATGCCGGGGCACGGCGACACGGAGGTGGAAGTGGCTGGCTGGCTGGCTGGGTGGCGTGTCCCCAGCACCACGCCCGGCCCTCGGCGCTTGGCGTTTCAGGTAAAACTCTCTCGTTTAAAAGGCCGCGTCGATCGAGGCGAGCCGACAGAGCCGATTCTAGATTCGAAGCTTTCGTGACTGCAAGGATTCATACGCTTAGGTTTTATTTTATTTCTATTATTTCAATTTTTTTATCTTTACCTCCACAACTGGTTCGAGATATCACTTCGTCACCGACCGTTATCCGCACGACCGTGAATCGAACTCTTCTTCTCCTCTTGCCGTGTTCTTGTTCTTGTTGTTGTATCGCAGTGCGCTAACCGGTGCGCCACCGCTCCCCCACCCACAGTCCAACTACCACAGCCTCACGCGGCGTCGTGCGGCACGGTGCCACCGCTAACACCCCGAACACTCCGCGCCGCCAACCTTATAACAACAACCGCACACTACAGCGGTACCCACTGGCGATCGTACTCACAGTGGCACCGTAGCGGGGTGACGTGGGGTGTCTGCGCGCAGCGTTGCGGCCTTGCCCGGGTGCTGGTGGTGCCGCTGTGGAGGCCGTCACGGGGGGACTGGGCCCGCAACCCGCGGCGCCAGCTACGCGGGCGCGGATTGGCTGACGGGGCAACCGGGGCTCCACCAATAGCAACGGCGACTACCAACAACGCCCCGCCCCCTGGCCCGCCACCCCACTCGCAGCCAATCACAAGAGGGTGGTGGAGTAAACACAGCTCACTCACCCCACTACTCACCATCTCACAGCCAATCGCAAGGGGGTGGTGGAGTAAACACAGCTCACTCACCCAACTACTCACCATCTCACAACCAATCACAAGGGGGTGGTGGAGTAAACACAGCTCACTCACCCCACTACTCACCATCTCACAGCCAATCACAAGGGGGTGGTGGAGTAAACACAGCTCACTCACCCCACTACTCACCATCTCACAGCCAATCACAAGGGGGTGGTGGAGTAAACACAGCTCACTCACCCCACTACTCACCATCTCACAGCCAATCACAAGGGGGTGGTGGAGTAAACACAGCTCACTCACCCAACTACTCACCATCTCACAGCCAATCACAAGGAGGTGGTGGAGTAAACACAGCTCACTCACCCAACTACTCACCATCTCACAGCCAATCACAAGGGGGTGGTGGAGTAAACACAGCTCACTCACCCCACTACTCACCATCTCACAGCCAATCACAAGGGGGTGGTGGAGTAAACACAGCTCACTCACCCCACTACTCACCATCTCACAGCCAATCACAAGGAGGTGGTGGAGTAAACACAGCTCACTCACCCAACTACTCACCATCTCACAGCCAATCACAAGGGGGTGGTGGAGTAAACACAGCTCACTCACCCCACTACTCACCATCTCACAGCCAATCACAAGAGGGTGGTGGAGTAAACACAGCTCACTCACCCCACTACTCACCATCTCACAGCCAATCACAAGGGGGTGGTGGAGTAAACACAGCTCACTCACCCAACTACTCACCATCTCACAGCCAATCACAAGGGGGTGGTGGAGTAAACACAGCTCACTCACCCAACTACTCACCATCTCACAGCCAAGCACAATAAGTACTATAGTAAACACTTACCCATTGCTCATGTACACTCTACATACTCAAACTCTACTCCTCCATCACGAGAGACATGAACACATATTGCTGTTACCTCACACACCCCTCTCTGCCACTAAAATTCGGAAGTACATCCTAAACAAACACGCATCTATATATCCCATTATGGACGTTTTTAAGCAGATGTTTTAGTTTACCTGGAATGTCCAAATGACTTGAGAGTTCGTAAACTATGCTTGAATCCAAATATAAACATATGTTCATTTAAATAGAAAAAAAGGTATTCATTGTACTTCAACTTTTCAATGTACCCCAAGTTAAAAGACAAGGGATATAGTTTGTGATTTTTCCAGGTATGACAGTCTTAATTTTAGCAAAATTTGCCAAATACTGTAATTTCTATTAAAATGAGGAAATGAAATTATCGTGCTTTAAAAGTTCAGGTTGAATTAAAAACATTTCCATGAACGAATATTTGTTTAATAAATTATTTGCAGTTCCTTTTAAATCTGCTAAATAAAGTACTGTATAGTATAACCAAATGCAATATTGGATCCAATCCCATGGGTGTATAGTAAAGGCACGGCCCAGAAATTGCTTGCTCACGGCACTGCTGGCGGATGAGCCTCTACGAGAGAAAACTCTGGGGTATTTGGTCTACTCTTCCACGCTGACAAGACGTGTTGAACGGGGTGGGAGTACCCACATTTTACTCCACCGCATTTATACTGTGCTGGTTGAACAGATGCGGAGACCTAAGCACTACCCACACGGTAACTTGCACATTCATAAAGTAGAATACAATAGATAATAATTTAATGTAATTAATAGTACAATATTTTATACAGTGTATATTGTTTTGAATACATGCGCATTTTGCTTCAAAAGTAAACTTGAAACATACTCTGTGTTTAAATATGTAGTAGATCTCAGATTTGGATATACGATCGTATGACTAATTCTATCCGCTAATTTGATACAGATCTACAAACCGTGGTGCAAACGATTGTGGTCAATTCAGAGAAATCGCGAGCTCTTTCCGCCCATGTGCATAGCGTCAAAGCCTAGTTATTACACCACGACTCCTAGAAAATTACCGGATTATAAGATGTGCTGAATTTTACCAGTTTGTATTTAAACCAGAATTTCCAGGTGCGTCTTATAATCCGGAGCATGCATTGGGGCGCCACGGTGGCGAGATTTTAACTAATTTTAACTACCACGCCTGGTTTACATGAGCTCATGGGTATATTTGGAGTTTGCATTTTTCTCTCCCCGTGGTCGTGTGGATTTTACACCGGGTCCTCCGGTTTTACCCACCACATTTATAAACATGCCTTGAGGATTTGGTTAGTATAAATGTGTAATAATGTTCAGGAGGACTTGGACGCCGGGGTTGGAGGCACACTTATTTATTCAGTACAAGGTACAACACAGACCGGGACGTACAGCACTGGAAGGGGTGTCGGCCCCTTCACCCGTCTAACTGGGAAGTCACGCTCTAGGCTACACCGAGCCTGCCTCTAGGTCCTCCACTATCGGGCTAGGGGAGGCTAGCTAACCCAGCCCTGGTTAAGCTGGGATTACGGCGCCCGGAGTCCCCAGACCGGCTCTGACAAGAGCATCAGCTCTGGCTCTCGGGGCCACGCCACTGGCTCGGTCCTGGTCGGCCCTGAGAAGTGCAGCGATCCAGGGGAGTCCCAGGGCTCTATCTAGCAGATCTTCCTTCTTCACTGGCTTAAAGCTTAATACATACTGCCCTGAGCCCTCCGGCTCACCCCTTTATATATCCCTCCCCCGCTGAGGGGTGGGGCCGCGGGGGATCCCAGCTCCGTGTCAGCCCCCCAGGCTGAACGGTGCGGACGTCGCTGTGAGCACCTCCCCGCGCACAGACATAGCCACGCCCACTGTGTTTGTTTACCGTCCGACACAACTGTATAACACCCCCTCCGTAACACCCCTACAAATGTCCACGTGACAAGCCACTTCGTCGAGCTATGTATAGCTCTGTGGACATTACCTGGTAAAAAAAAAAAACAAGTTTAATATTTTGAAAATGTTTTAACCTTGTGCAGGGGTTGGCAACATGCGGCTCTTTAAGGACTGCAATGCGGCTCTTGAAATATTGATGGATTTTTTTTAACCAAATTCGAACAAAAATTGGCCCTTCTTGTTATTTTGGTGACCATGGAAGTCCATTCTAGATTTTAAGCTTTCGTGACTGCAAGGATTCATTTTATTCACCACAGTGATTTTGCTGTGGCGTGTTCCACCTGAAGACGGAGGCTTGTGTTGCTTCCGAAACGTCGTGATTTAATTTAGTTGTTTTCATTTATTTTATTTTCTACCTACGTGACTTTACCGAAAAAACCAAAGAGCATGGAAATCCAGTTTACCATGGAAGCCCAGTTTACCATGGAAGCCCAGTTTACCATGGAAGTCCAGTTTACCATGGAAGTGCAGTTTACCATGGAAGTCCAGTTTACCATGGAAGCCCAGTTTACCATGGAAGTCCAGTTTACCATGGAAGTCCAGTTTACCATGGAAGTCCAGTTTACCATGGAAGTCCAGTTTACCATGGAAGTCCAGTTTACCATGGAAGCCCAGTTTACCATGGAAGTCCAGTTTACCATGGAAGTCCAGTTTACCATGGAAGTCCAGTTTACCATGGAAGTCCAGTTTACCATGGAAGCCCAGTTTACCATGGAAGTCCAGTTTACCATGGAAGTGCAGTTTACCATGGGCAGCTTGCGGCTCTTTATAGACTGGTTCGTGACGTTATTAATTTACGACCGTCTCGAATTGATGTGCATTGCGACTCTTGAAATATTAAGGGGTCTACTTCTTTAACTAAAAATGGCTCTTGTTATTTTGGTTGCCTCACCCCTGATCTAGTGGATCAGATTAATCTTCCGGAAGATGATTTTCTATTGCAATATATTACCACCAGGAACAGACGATCGAAAACACGGTACATCTTCCACAGTTTGAGTAGATTTTATTTGTTACACTGATAATCCCGAGTAGCCAATTTTCCGGGCTATTTTACACAGGAGATCCGTGGTGCATTAGCACAGAAATAATAAAATAAACAGCAAAAAACATCAACATTACAGAGAACGAGTACACTTCATAGTACCATAATGTCCCGACTATAAAATACAAAAATTACCACAAAGTGTGTGCTGTGTCTTACTCTCCGGACGTCTTGAAATGCGTAGATTACAATAATATGTACTTCATGTAACATTAGCTCGTTTGTTTCCTTACGTTTCGGTAGACGGAAACGCATAATCTTCCGACACAGGCGTGCAAGAAGTGATCATTACGTTGAGACGTTTACCACAGTGCTGTATGTGAATGAGGTCGTATTGTTATTATGAACAGTGTATTATTAACTCTGGACCGAGTTGCTGTGAATTGGCCACCTCGGGCAGGCGATGCTCTGTTGTTTGGCTGGGTCACTCTGTGCTGTCAATTTAAGTCGAACTAATGAAGCCAATTCCAGACACAACTCAAAGTAATACTCAGGAGGGCTGAATAATTTATTGCATTCATAAAATGTCAAAGTAATAGCTGTGTTCATAGGAATAGACCAATTAATAAACAACACGACTTGAAATGTGCCTATGACATCCCTTCATCCCTATGACAAACCCCAGTGGCTTCATAGCCTCATCATTACATTGTAGCCCACATGCCCCAAACACCGCATGTGCCCAAGTTGCTTCTGTTTAATCTTGATTTGAAGCTTTCGTGACTGCAGGAATCCATACTCTTTGGTTCTTTCGGTAAAGTCACGTAGGTAGAAAAATAAAATCAAATATAAAATAATATATCACATAACGCTCCGTGCTTGTTTGTTTAGATGTTCAGTGCAGTGTCCAGCTTGTCCGGCCGCTTTGGGCAGGAATTCCACACAACTCCCCCTCTGCCCCAACCTCTCTCTCTCTCTATTTAAGGCCTCGACACAGAGACGTTGTCTTTCTGTGTGCCTATGTGTGTGTCTCTCTCTCTGTGTGTCTCTGTGTGAGTTTTTCTCTGCTTGTGTGTCTGTCTGTGTCTATGTTTTGTCTCTCTCTCTCACATATTAGTCATCTTTGGAGGAACGTAATCAATCAGGTGAGGTGTTGACTGTGGTGTTGGCCGACTCTCTGTGTTGTATTGCATTGTATTTCCCAATTTACTATATTCTTGGTTCTTTCGGTAAAGTCACGTAGAAGGGAAATAATAAAATAATATTATTACCCTTCAAAAAGAACCAAGAATATGAATCCCTGCAGTCACGAAAGCTTTAAATCGAAATTCAAGTTTACAATGTTTGTTTTCTCATTCATTTGTACCTGATGATGGTTGCTTGTGTTGCAATCGAAACGTCGTATTCTATTATTATTTAATTACATTTCTTTCCACGTAACTTTACCGAAAGAACCCAAGAATAAGTTTCATTGTACTGCAATCAGACACAGTCCTCGCTCCAACCCACGCTGATCTGCGGTGGGTTGAAGGTGGTCTCTCACCTCGCAGCGGACTAACGACGAGCTGACAATCATTCATCAATTATTGTACTCGATAAACCTTTCAGTATTGACTGACACACAAGAGGAACTCAAGTAGATGGCTATTATTATTCCTACACTATTCTTGCGTATGGCAGCAATATATTCACGAGCTAGATACCAACCAATGTCAAGGTCTGCCTGCCACGATGAGAGGGCATTGGGAGAGTGTGGTTTTATTTTACCTCCTCCCTTGAAAGGGTGCTGACTACAATGGTACAACCCACCAATGAATTTTGATTTAAAGCTTTCGTGACTGCAGGGATTCATATTCTTGGTTCTTTCGGTAAAGTCACGTAGAAGGGAAATAATAAAAAAATACAAGCATAAAACAATAAAAATTCTCACGACGTTTTAACTGCAACACAAGCAATCATCATGAGGTGTGAAATCCACAGCAAGATTTCACACCTGATGATGATTGCTTGTGTTGCAGTTGAAACGTCGTGAGAATTTTTATTGTTTTATATTTGTACTTTTTATTATTTCCCTTCTACGTGACATTACCGAAAGAACCAAGAAAATGAACCCACCAATGGTTTACGTTGCAGGGCCAAAATCGCACGACTTTGACATTTGTGAAGATGTTACACATCGGCTTGTTTATGATCCGATGCAGTTAACGGTCACACCGGTGTCTTGGAGGAGATATGTAAAAAGCCATGAAGTGTTGTGATGTTTGTGTTATTACAATGTACGAACACGCGTGCATGCGCACGGGTAAACAGGCGAGGAGTGGTCCCGCTTAACTTCGAATTCAGGCAAGGTTAGCAACCCAGCACTGGGCGTGCCGACAATGGCTCCCCTTCACAAGCACGTGGAAAAATGATCAGCGTGCATTGTTGTGTTGTCGAGTGTTGTTGTTGGTGGTGGTGGTGGTGCGACGCCACTGTCCCACGCATCAGCAGCACGCAACAGCTGCATCAGCAACAATAGCAGCTGAAACATCTGCAGCAGCTGCAACATTTTCAGCATCTGCACCAGCTGCAACATCAGCAGCAGCTGCAACAACAGCATCTGCACCAGCTGCAACAACAACATATGCACCAGCTGCAGCAACAGCACCAGCTGCAACAGCAGCATCTGCACCAGCTACAGCAACAGCATATGCACCAGCTGCAGCAACAGCACCAGCTGCAACAGCAGCATATGCACCAGCTGCAACAACAGCACCAGCTGCAACAGCAGCATCTGCACCAGCTGCAACAACAGCATCAGCAGCAGCTGCATCAGCAGCAACAGCTGCAACATCTGCACCAGCTGCTAACAGCAGCATCTGCACCAGCTGCAACAGCATCATCTGCACCAGCTGCAACAGCATCATCTGCAGCAGCTGCAACAACAGCATCTGCTCCAGCTGCAACAGCAGCATCAGCAGTAGCAACATCTGCACCAGCTGCAACATCAGCATATGCACCAGCTGCAACATCAGCATATGCACCAGCCGCAACATCAGCATATGCACCAGCTGCAACAACAGTAGCAGCAGCTGCAGAATCTGCACCAGCTGCAACATCAGCATTTGCACCAGCTGCAACACCAGCATATGCACCAGCTGCAACAACAGTAGCAGCAGCTGCAGAATCTGCACCAGCTGCAACATCAGCATTTGCACCAGCTGCAACATCAGCATATGCACCAGCTGCAACAACAGCAGCAGCTGCTGCAGCATCTGCACCAGCTGCAACATCAGCATTTGCACCAGCTGCAACATCAGCATATGCACCAGCTGCAACAACAGCAGCAGCAGCATCTGCGCCAGCTGCAACATCAGCATTTGCACCAGCTGCAACATCAGCATATGCACCAGCTGCAACAACAGCAGCAGCAGCATCTGCGCCAGCTGCAACATCAGCATTTGCACCAGCTGCAATATCAGCATATGCACCAGCTGCAACAACAGCAGCAGCAGCTGCAGCATCTGCGCCAGCTGCAACATCAGCATTTGCACCAGCTGCAACATCAGCATCTGCACCAGCTGCAACATCAGCATATGCACCAGCTGCAACATCAGCATATGCACCAGCTGCAACATCAGCATATGCACCAGCTGCAACAACAGCAGCAGCAGCTGCAGCATCTGCACCAGCTGCAGCAACAGCATCTGCAGCAGCTGCAACAACAACAACTGCAGCAGCAACAGCTGCAATAACAGCAGCAGCTGCAGAATCTGCTACCAGCTGCATCAGGAGCACCAGCCTTCCGGACCCGTTACCAATTCAAACAAGCGGTGTCGTGACGCTGCGCGGTCGCGCGCCTGCGATTGGCTGGTTTCCACTCGGCGCGTGCTCTGATTGGCTGGTTTCCGCTCGGCGCGTGCTCTGATTGGCTGGTTTCCACTCGGCGCGTGCTCTGATTGGCTGATTCACCGCCACCCCCCTCCCCCCTCCCTCACCGCTGAGGGAGGAACCCCGCGGTGTGGCTGAGAAGTTTTTGGCGCCGTGGTGGCTGAGGTAGAAGCACTACTAATAATAATTATAGTAGTTGGTTGTGGTTGTCTCATGAATGAACCGAACCAAGAGCAGTCTCACGACTCGCCCCCCGCCCGACAAGTGGTAAGTTTGTCAATGTCGCGGTCTGCCTCTCTCTCTCTCTCTCACACACACACAGCCGGCGGTTCGTGCTCTGGGCTAGTGACGAACTGGGCCACGTTCTGTTTACGTGGTTGGCTGCTGTGTGTGGAGGTATAACGACGCATTTATATATGTACGCGATCTAACACAAAAGCCTCTCTTATGGATGATATTGGTCTCGAAAGCCTTAGTGTTAAACTGGTAGGCGGCGTTGTTGTTGTTCGGCGAGAAGCGAGGCCTGCGGCCTTGTCTCCCTCACGCCGTGAGGAGAAGTCCCTCTGCTTTGTGGTCATTTCTAAACCTCTACACGTGACCATCCTTCACTATTAGTGGTTGTGTTACGTGACTATACGTCATTAGTCGTTGTTTTACGTGACCATCCTTCACTTAGTGGTTGTGTTACGTGACCATCCTTCACCATTAGTCGTTGTGTTACGTGACCATACTTGACCATTAGTCGTCGTGTTACGTGACCATACGTCACCATTAGTCGTTGTGTTACGTGACCATCCTTCACCATTAGTCGTTGTGTTACGTGACCATCACCATTAGTCGTTGTGTTACGTGACCATACTTGACCATTAGTCGTCGTGTTACGTGACTATACTTCACCACTAGTTGTGTTACGTGACTATACTTCACCATTAGTCGTCGTGTTACGTGACTATACTTCACCACTAGTCGTTGTGTTACGTGACCATACGTCACCATTAGTCGTCGTGTTACGTGACTATACTTCACCATTGCTGCCACGTGCGAGTTGGCGACAGCAGCGAGGGGCACTCACGAATTGGTTGCGGATATCGCGGGCCACTGATGACAGCCGTGCACGGGAATCCGATCTGTTCGTGCCGCATAGAGATGCCTTACCACTGCCGCCTCCCCCTATACAGGATAGTATACAGTATATAGTATTACCATTGTTACAAAATACGGTGTAAGGTATTTATTAACTGGATTGATGACGGAATCGAGACATTTGATTCAATCGGTGTGGGTTGGATTATAAGTAAAAACCAACACCCTTGGCACGTGTGCAATAGAGCAGTGTTGGTTCTCGACCTTGTTTGGGCGATTCATTTTAATTTAGTTTCACGCCGAGTAACGCCCGAGAAATTAAATGTATGAATACTGAACGCCAAAGTTTTTGTGAGGTTATCCTAACTTAGGAAGTTAACTGCGAGCGAATAAAAGCAAAACATCAACGGACGCGTTGGGGTACTTGGTTCGCTGGTTAGTTACTCTTGGAGATCCACATTGTGTGGAGGTCTGTGTGTTTAGAAAGGTCTTTCATATCGTTCTAGGTTACCGTATGGATTAACATTTTTTTTGTATTGGCAGATTCCGAAATGATTATTCGCCAATGACTCGTGTATGTCACTACATTTATAATCGCCACACGTTACCCCCTTGGGGTACTATTCACGATACGGTGTTACAACATTGCACAATGTAAACGACATGGGTTGGTCTTGTTAACCGTGGCACTTGCGTATGTATAGTTTGATACGTCGTATATCATCGATTAAATGTCTTTAAAAATAACAATTACGAGATGATCACTTTTGCAATTACGTATATGCTGTAATTTATAGCCCCTTAATCTACTGCTCAATGAAGACCCTTGCAGTGTTGGTCATATTGCCGGGTTCATAGTGCAGAAAGCCAATCACTGTCACAGATGGAGCCGTAATTTTCCTACCTTCACGTGATAAAAAATTGTCTGGAATGTTAATTATAGGTAGAGCATGCAGTGAAGGTTCCAGGGGCTAAGCCCATAGCTTATCTTCCTATCAGTACTGTTAATCATATCCGCAGGCTGTGATTGATTTTAATGGCTCAGTAACCGACGGTTGTTGTAAAAACAGAAGCAATACAGTAAAAGTGTCGTTCAAGAGCAACGTAGTTACCTGCAAGGAAAGTTTAAATTTAATTTCAGCTCAATATCACGAAAATGCCATCAGCTCCTACAGCATCACTTGTTTTAGGTTTGTATGATGTTTCAAACAGTTTTGACTTAACTTTCGTGACTGCAGGAATTAATATTCATTGGTTCTTTCCGTAAAGTGACGTAGAAACAAAAAATAAAAGTAAATAAAATAAAACTACGACGTTTTCATTACAACACAAGCAATTGTCATCAGGAGAAACAAAAAATGTAGTTTTATTTACTTAAATTTTTTTCTATCTACGTGACTTTACCGAAAGAACCAACGAATATGTTTAAAACAGTATTTATCATTGTGTAGTGGCATAGTGCTGGCTGCTGGTGATAAAAGGATCTGCGATGTACGGCAGTATTGAAGTCCGCAGGCCATGATGGACACGATAGGGGGAAATCTCGTGGAAAGGTCACAGAGGGGGGGGGGCCCATCGGAAAGCCTCGGGAACCCGCTAGTATGTTCCAGAGAGAGGGCGTGGCCGGGGCGGAGAGAGGCCACGCTGAGAGTAAAAGAAGGGCCCCTGTGAGGGACCTCAGGGCTGTTGCTGGAGTGGGGTCCTCGTCGTGCTGTTCAAGATCGTCGCTGTCGTTTCGTCGCCATCGTCGCTGTCTTCACTCGATATTGTGCTGCTAGATAGTTGTTTGCTGTCTCGGTTTAGCGCCGTCTGTGTTAAGACGGTTAGTATTGTGTATAGGCTAGCAACAGTAATAGTGTGTACCCACGTAGTATTATGTTTCGGCTAGAAACAGTAATAGTCTGTACCCATGTAGGGTGTGTATTATACTGATGGTTCTCTCTCTCTTTGTGTGTCTGTGTTGTCTCTTTCTGCTTGTGTGCTTGTCTTTGTGTCTCCGTGTCTGTGTCTCTCTCAAAATTTCACACTTAACTTCTAATTTAGCAATCTTTGGAAGAACGTAATCAACCAGGCTATGTGTTAATTGTGTGTTGACCGACTCTGTGTTGTATTGCGTTACATTACCAAATTTTGCTCAGTTTGTTTTATTAAGTGTGTTTTCTCTCTCTCTCTGTGTGTCCTCGTGTTGTAGTATTTCCTGCAGTCACGAAAGCTCCAAATCTCTCATTGACATGATAATTTCTCTACCCTCCCCCGCTCTCTCTCTATTTAAGAGAGGTGTTGTTTCTCTGTGTGCCTATGTGTGTGTCTCTGTTATCTCTCTGCTTTTGTGTCTGTCTGTGGCTCCGTGTCTGTGTTTTGTCTCTCTCTCAAATTTAGCAATCTTTGGAAGAACGTAATCAACCAGGTAGGGTGTTAACTGTTATGTTAGCCGACTTTGTGTTGTATTGCATTATATTTCTAAGTTTACTAGGTTTGTTTTTTCGTTCATTTGTACCTGATGATGATTGCTTGTGTTGCAATCGAAACGTCATATGCTATTATTTAACGTATTTATTTTCTACTTGACTTTACCGAAAGAAACAAAGAGTAAATAAAAGAAGTGCCTCCAAGTCTTATCGTCTCCCGAGTTAGTCACTACAATTGTATGTACACTAACAAGGATCCGTCTCAAGCTAAAAACTGGCTGCTGCCATATCAATGTCCAGTTTCTCCACCATTGATAGAGGGCCACCATTGGATACAATTACTACCCTGTGTTCGCTTTACCAAGAAGATGCTGACTTGTCTACTAATATATAAGTAACTTTAGTACAGATGCATAATATGACATGTATACGGTGTTGCGAGAGAGGCGCAATGCAAAGACCGAAGAAATATTGCCCAAGGCGAAATCATCATTTGAAAAACACCCTTATTTTAATTGTAAAAATTTCAAGAAGGATCTTTACATTTGGAGTGTAATATACAGATTTGATTCTGAGATTATTGTAAACCACATACATTATGTTAAATCATAATAACAGTATGGAGCTAAAGTCCATTTATTTTGTAATATGTACAATGTGCAGTTTAGCATACTGTATATTAAATAATGCCAATTTTAATTAAAGTTTCTATTTTGCAGGATTGAGAATCCAAGATCAAATAATTTTTTAATCGGCATAAGAAGATATCCCAACAATTAAAAAATTATGACAGAGACCAGCAGACAACATAGCCTCGTTCGAGATAACCAGAACAAGGCTTGCTGGAAAAGCTTCGGTTGCAGCCAGATGCACGGAGAAGACCTGCTCAGTAGTAAGGACGTCCGCCACCAGCCTGCCAAACCCCCGGTACGCCTGCACCACCCACTCTCTCATCAACACATTGCTGTAATTCAGTTTTTATGTGTTTTCGTTTGTCACCATTCTACCCTGCCAACATATGCAGCGGCACTTGTTTTTTTGGAAGTCTAGCATGACATTATTCGGTGATCGTACTCCCCAATGCATAGTAGTGTATTCACGTAGATAATGCACGGAAATATATGTAGCACTCGTCTGTTATTGTAGGATTTAATATCACTGTTCTTTGGAAAGCAAGTAAAGGTGTTTGCATATTTTTGTCTGAGCACTCTGATCTTGATGGGCTTGTGATGATTTAGGGCAAGAAGATCGTGCTGACGAACTGGATTATTCAGCCGCTGGATGATTTCTCTGCAGTTTGTCTTGTAGGCCGTCGGCTGTAAGTACTGACTATCCATCATCACTTTATTGTACTGCTGTTACTATGGTTTCTTATTCATGTGTTATGTTTTTAAATGTTTTTTGGATTTTGTTTTACGAGGGCTTACAATAAGGTATTCTTTGGTTCTTTCGGTAAAGTCACGTAGATGTAAAAAAATATAAAAAATATATAAAAATAAAAGATTAAAAACCACGACATTTCGATTGCAACACAAGCGGTCGTCATCAGGAAAAAGGGGTTAGCCTCTAAAGGCAAGCTGTTTATAAAGGTTTAAAATGCGCGTAGCCTATGCGTTAGAAAATCGTGACCCAGCAGGCATGTGGGGCGGTGCTGGTGGTGGGTTTCCACCAATTAAAGGGCTGCCAAGTCTAAAATGGAAATATTACAGCCAGATATGACTTAAACTGGTTGATAACGTCCTTCCAGTGATTGTTGAGTTTGTACCCATCCTCTCGGTTGAAATTGTGTCTATGTCTGTATATATGGATGGCTTCATGAACGAATCTTTGTTGATAGCCAGTGGGCTTGCAAAGTACCTTCGCCTTCGAGAAATCAATTTCGTGTGAGCTAACCGCATTAAGACAATGATCAGCCACGGCCGAGGTACTGGTCCTACCGTGTTTCAGAATCTGCCTTATGTTCACGAACATTGTTCGAGACGTGTCGCTTAGTTTCCCCAATGTAACTTGCCGCAGACACAGCTTAGTTTGTAGACTCCGAGATATTGCATGTCAGGGATCTTGTCCTTCACAGATGGGATCAGATCACGAATTTTATTTACTGTGTTAAATCGGACTTGGATCTTGTGTTTGTTCATGATTTTGGAAATCTTTTTGGTTACCCCTGCTATGTATGGCAAGGTGATGGTTTTGATTGGATCATCAGATTGCTCCTTAGTCACGGTTGGGGTGATGTCTTTGCGTATTGTGTTGTCAGAATATCCATTCGCCTTGAGAGTTTGGTGTACGTGTTTGAGTTCACTGGTTAGGTGTTCATGGTCGGAGATACATTGACTTCTATAGTGTAGAGTTTTGATGAGGGAATTCTTCTGGGATGGATGGTGGTGGGAATCAGGTTTTAGGTAGGCATCAGTCTGGGTTGCTTTCCTGTAGACAGAATGGCTCATTGAGCCATCTGGTCTCTTTTCGATTAGGACATCCAAAAAGGGTAGCTTGCCATCTTTTTCTACCTCCATGGTGAATTTGATGGCTGGGTGTATGGAAATTATGTGGTTGAGGAATTGGTTCAGAGCTGGTCGGCTATGTGGCCAGATGACGAACGTGTCATCCACGTACCTCTTCCACAAGGACGGGCGTAGAGTGGATGCCTGGATGACGTCCATCTCAAATTTTTCCATGAAAACATTGGCTACAACCGGAGATAAGGGAGAACTCATTGGGGTTCCTTCAGTTTGTTTGTAGAAGGTTTCATTCCAGCTGAAGTATGTGTTGGTGAGTTAGTGTCTCACGAGGGCCGGTACATCCACTGATGGAGCCTGTTGGGAGGGGGGGTGGGGTGGCATGTGCCCCCCCAATGATGCGATCGAATCCCTAATTTCGATCGGATCATTGGGGTTTATTAGTAATAAATCGGCATTTTGCGACCCCCATTGCCACTGTGTAGCATATTATTATGTGCCAGGGACTCTATGAGATAGGACAATAGTCTGAGTCCATAATTGGCAATAAGTAACGGCAAAGCATTTATAAGTGACTCACAGAATTGTGCGCAGTTGCGTATACAGCACACGACTTACCTGAAGGCATTCACCTTCAGCGAGCGGGATGCCGATCACACACGGTTCTAATTCGATCCTCGATCGATGGCTGTGCCATCGCCGCACATGCGTCGAATAAAAAGCAAGGGACAAGTCCTTACTTACTAACAACTCCTATCATTTTTCATTACTGGAGGGGTTGCCCCCCCCACCTGAAAATCCTGGCTCCACCATTGGGTACATCAGCATTCAATCCTTGAGAGGCTAACCAGCTTTTCCTGATGACGACTGCTTGTGTTGCGATCGAAGCGTCGTGGGTTTTTTTTCTTTTTATGATTTTTTTATTATATTTTTTCTATCTACGTGACTTTACCGAAAGAACCAAAGAATATGAATTCCTGCAGTCAAGAAAGTTCTAAGTAAAAGTTTTACAATAAGGTGTCATGGCATTTTACTTCAGTCCATATAACTAAAGATCATGTAAATTTTGTCAAACCACTGCTGGATGAGGAGCACCTCATTCCATATGGGTCATTGTGATTATTTTCTGTTTCTTCATGCTGGGCAATGCTGGTTGGTGAAACGGGAGAACAGACATGGTCACGTGGAAGTAAAATGGAACAACAATGGATTTTGCTGCACTGCCCTCTACTGCCCACAATCTACCATTCTCAAGTTTTCGTCGCATTTTCACTTATCTCCTCGTGTTCCTCAGGTCTCCTGCCCTGTCCTTTTCCACTCCCTCTCACCGTGTATGCACAGTCCTCCTGACTTCCTCCCTCTGTCATCGTCGCTAGTTTTTTCCCTCCACATTACCTTGGGTCTGACTTTTCTTATCACCGCCCCCTGCCTGCTCACTAGGGCTCTACTCATCTCCAGGTTCCATCATTTACACCATGCCTATACTTAATGCTGAATATTTAGTTTACGGAGACTCATTATATCTGTAAAAATCATGCATACGTCATCTTCCACAAACATATACACATTTGATTTGATACGGGTTTATTTGCTTGAATGCAATGAAGCTTGTGTTGTTGTGTGTTCCCACAGCTCCGCCTCGCAGAATGAGGAGTATTGGCACAGTAGTGCCATAGTGAAACGGATATCGGCCCAACGATTTGAGACTGCTTCAGGTTCCATTTACATACTTGAAGGCTGCATCAATGCCCAAGATGCACGAATGGAAGGTATTTGAACTAGAAACTTGACTTAAATACTGGGCCAGGCTGTTTCCCCCGTTTGTGTGGTTTAAATAGAATTGCTTGGTTCATTAGGTCAAAATCAGAATCTTGATTTATCCTGGAGAAATCCCATGAGCTATGAACCTCCGTTTAGCGCGGCTGGCTACGTACAGTGTGAAAAAGGTCAACATACTTGCATACAAGCATCTATTTCACAGATGTCCAGATGCAATGTATCATCAAGTTAGTCCATGTCATACTCAACAAATGGGTTCTGTTGTACAAATATGGCGATGTTCATAATAATCACCTTCCATTTTTTGCATTGTATCAAGTATAATAATATTTCTGATTATTTTTCACTTCGTATATGCTTTTTGGAATAATAGATCACGACGTTTCGATCGCCACACATCGTCTTCAAGACGATGTGTGGCGATCGAAATATCGTCTTCAAGACGATGTGTGGCGATCGAAACATCGTCTTCATACCTTTTTTGTTTTATCCACAGCTGGCTTTTCCTGGAATATGATAAAAACATTTAAACATGGATTTCCCGAAGACTGGAAACTATTTATTGATAAATACCTCGTTGTTCAGTAAGTTTTGCGTAGCACGCATTATATGCTTTTTGGAGTCCGGAAATGGTAAATTTATTGTCGTAATGCTGATTTAGTTGGTCGCATTAACATGAGAAATCTGTGAGAGCATTCTATAAGGCCATCAGAAGTTTACCATGAGATGTACTTATTGAGGAGAATACATGGTACATTTAGTGCATGATGTCACCCAAATGGGGACTGGTAATGGGAAAACTTTCACTTGAAAATAATAACAAACGTGTCACATGTGAATTGTGCAAGGCTGATAATATTTTCTTTATTTCTTGTTAAATAATTGTATACAATTTTTATTGTTAAGTTCGAGAAGCATTGCTTTCCCATATTTATTATTGGTCTGCTTCACCTTGAGGAGACACAGGAGGCTCTTGTCTTTGGATCTGAATTATTGGGCAGCACATTGCCTCTATTTCACAAAACATTAGTGTGACCGGAGTGCCTTGTAATGGGATTGCCTATTTCACACGTTGAGAAAATTGTATACAATGGACTCCAATTTTACAGGAAAGAGAGGTGGAATAGCAGCACCGGTAAATCCACATCGCTCCATGATGAGCAGATGGATTGTCTCACATCTTCTGCAATGAATGAGCTACCCTCTAAAGTGGCGGAGAGGACGAGTGACACCGTGATGAAGTTAATTGAACGTGACATACGTCTCATCACTCCGTGTGCCATTCACCTCTATACTCTCCAGCCCAAGCAACTTGGTGAGGACACCATTACTTAACATGGTTTATCTATGGGACCCTTTTCAGGGTTTACAGAAAACCTACTGCGAATATCTAAAACTATGCATTTTAGTCTTATGTACCATGCCAGTATTCTGTTGAATTCTGGTTCTTGCTAAGCTTTGACTCGTGTAGCTTTCGATTTAAAACTTTCGTGACTGCAGGGATTCATATTCTTGGTTATTTGGGTAAAGTCACATGACGTTACCGAAAGAACCAAGAATATGGGTAGCTTTGTTTCTTGAAGCTAAAATAATGATAAATATTTAATGGAAGGCATTGAAAACATGTTGACAAATAATGGAATCAGTTTAAAGCGATTTGAAATGTGAAGTACGATAAAACTGGAATTGAAATGGAAAAATACATTATTGACAGTGTTAAATATCTCTTCCAACTTACCATTGTTAACACCTAAATGATCTACCCTGAATTTTGAAACCCAGTCCAGAATTGGTTTTGAACCAATGTCGCTGAAATTAGGCCCTCCCATAAAACCGAGTGGCTGATGGGGTGTCAGTAATACAGTAGTACCCCTATACACAATTGGTGCATTCGTGTATCAAAACATATATTGAATAACTTATAACATTAGTACTATGAGGATGCATTCCCAGCCTTCGTAACTTACCGTTCCCCATTATAACGACTTCATAACTTTAATGTTTTATAATTTACAAGTGATTTTATATACGTATGTATTAATATTGTTTAAAACAACAAGTCATCTTTGTGATCCTGCTGATAAACATTCTTGGTGACATTATAAGAAGTAACTTTTTTCGTACTTCATACTGAATACAACTCCAGTTCTTTTTATAATCTCGAAATTATAATAGGTCGTGCCTATCATTTCCTTTTAATTTACTGAAATAGATGGTTTAAAGTGGCATACGTGGGTTTTCCTCCAGGTGAACGACAAGACGGGCGAAGCAACACGGAAAATAATTTCTCTACCCGAACAAAACGCAAGAGAGACCCGTTGGAGAAGCCTCTCCGCTCCCAAGAATGGAGTGCTCAGTCTGTACTGGAGTCCCACAAGTGCAGCATCAATGACAAGAAAGTGAAACATTCTGTTGTCGTGCTTGATAAAATTTGTGTTAAATCTCTGACCATGGATCCTTTGCAAGAGTTCCCCCCGTGCCTCAATATGAGCCGAGAATCTCAGGAAAATAATCCAAGTGCTCTTATGGGTGTGCGAACAAGAGGAGACACTGAGGAGAACCCAGTGAATCCTGGCAAATTTGCCAATAAGGAAAAGACGTTGACTTCCGAGAGCTCTGTTAGCAAACAAAGAATAAACTTGAAACAAAAACGTGGAAAAGGAAATTATCATGCCACATCCATCATGAGAAGACATGCAAGCGTGGAAAGTTTCAACAAAGAGAATGCAGACAAGGCTTGGCTAGAAAGAAAAGGAGTGAAGAAGGCCATGTTGCTACAAAGCGAAACCGTCACCCATTCAAAAGACGACCATAAACACAGAAGCTTGAGGGGTAAACCTTCCTCCAAGACCCAAAAGTTTAAGACACAGAAGAAAGGCTTTAAGGAGACTAAATCCAAAACCCGAGGTACTTCCAGGAAAATAAAGTCCTCATCTACCCGCCGCAAGAGAGAATCCACCACTGAATGGAGCAAAGAGGAGTTGGCAAGGTTGTACAGGTATGTCTGCGTGAATGATGCCACACAATAGAATACAGTGATCCCTCGTTTATCGCGGTTAATGGGGACCGGAACCCCTCGCGATAGGTGAAAATCCACGAAGTAGGATTGGCCCCCCTAGGAATTTCCGTATATGTGTGTGTGGGTACCAGAATGTTTAAAATATGTATATTTATACTTTTTATATATATTTTACTTAAATCTATTTAATTATAAAACCTTAATATTATACATTCACTCTCTCTCTCATACAATACGTATTATGATGCGCAGCCAATCAGCTCACGGGACACTGTACATCCACTCGTGCTCTCATTCGTCGATCTCGCGCCGGGAACCAATCACGTGCCTTGTCTGAGTGCCCGTGGGTACAGTATGTGCAAAGCCTCTGAGAGAGTTTCTCTCTTTGTCTGGCATCCTGGGAAACCGTTTCTCTCGCGCATCACGATGAAACAACGCTGCTTTCCGCAATACGGCTGCCGATATGGCGGTATTGTTATATTTTTATTTTTCGATGAATATTTTTGAAAAATCCGCGATGCACTGAGGCCGCGAAACTTGAACCACGAAGTGGCGAGGGATTACCTGTACTACGTTTTGATTGCAACACAAGCAACCATCATGAACGAGAAAACAGACATTTGTACCTGATTATGGTTGCTTGTGTTGCAATCAAAACGTCGTATTCTATTATTATTTAATTTAATTTCTTTCTACGTGACTTTACCGAAAGAACCAAAGAGTAATTCCTGCAGTCACGAAAGCTTCGAATCTAGTTTTATACTCACAATAAATAACGTACAGTGGAACGTCACATATCTAACGTCACTTATCCGTCCTGACCAATCAACCACCATTGCAGTGTTTGTGCACTGAGCAGCTATCATTTCCTATGAACGTTCCAATATCTGCCTATACCTCAGTCACCCAATGAGACATACGTGCAACATTGAACTGTGTTGTACCCTTATACAATTGACAAATGGACATTGTTATTGAACGAATGCACTTAATTTGTTTTGTATGTGCTACCTGACTCGATTGACCAAAACTCAGAACTCTGTGCTTTTCACTTGGTCCATTTTGCACATTTGGTGCATTTTGCCTTAAGGTCACCTTGTTTCCTTTTATGTTTTTGTACCGCATAGAATAAATCATTTTAATCCAACACGAAGGTATTAGGCCACCCGATTTGTTGCATATGTTCTTTGGGTCTTTTCGGTAAAGGCACGTAGATACCGAAAAACCCAAAGAGAATCTGACTTCCTATAGTCACGAAAGCTTTAAGTAAAGGTTGTTGTATAAAGCTTGAATATCAAGGCGGGCAATAAAGACTCACTGTGGTGCAAGGTCTATCTGTGAAAGAGATACCAAAACCTGCACATTCCCAGTGACATCACCTGCTTTTAGGTGATGTTGCCTTTAGTTGTTCTTTAACAAAGGGGGGGTACACCCTTCGTGGTTTCTGATGTACGACACTTGTGATGAGCTGTGGATTTACCCAAAACATTTTAAAGAAGCATTTGGAGGTTTTAATGCATTTTTGTTGTTTTTTTTTGTCATAAAATGCAAATGGGGTGCTGCAGATAATATAATCGCAAATATGCTGCACCTTGCAGACCACAAGGTTCGGCATTTTTTCTCTCAATTGTGCATTTTGTATATTAATTGGCGTACGTTAATAAAGCTAAATAATGTTAACACGTAGTTGAACTTATTCGCAATGGTTGTAACATCACACAAGCCTGTTCAACAATGTGTTTGCCAGCGTTGTGGACAGTTTCCCAAAGAAAAAGTCGATCTTGTGGAATCAAGTGTCCGATGCGGTGGGCTGCCGCACGGCAGATGACTGCAAGAAGCGTTACAAAATGGGTTCCAAGCTCCTACCGATTTCCCGATTTACATCAGAGGCAACCAAGGTTTCTGGCAAGCTTCAAGAAAAAGGTACAGTTTTGCATGTGGTTAGGGTGGCCCCTTGCGGGCCCCATAACTGTGGTAATTTGGTGATCTTTTTAAAGTCATAGTCTCAATCTTGTCAATGAAAAGCTTGTGGCCCATTAGGAGAGTCTGAGTGGATTGCATGTAGTCATTCTCTGGGTTTAGTTTACTGAAGCAGTCAAAGATATAGTCCACCCTAAGATATTCAATGATTGTTTAGTCAGGGTCTTTGTCATTAACCAATTATTTTGTAAACATTTGCTGGGAGATTTTAAAGTTTTCCTACAGAGGCATTACAGAGTTCAGGTATTATTGTGTTGTTTGTAAATGTTTTATGTATGTTTGTTTAACTTCTTTCGCACCACTATACGGAACCAACCATGCTAATCCTAGGCGTGAAATTAACGTTCAGGAAAAACCTCACTCAACGCGGTTTTGTGCAACGCGTATTTCAGCTTTACACATTTGTAATGACAGGGTGACATCTGCTGGTCTGGAAGGGGAATTACGGGTACGGGCACGGTTAAGTAACAACTAATCAGAGAGGGAGGTGTATCTGGGGCAAAGGTATAAGGTGAGGCTAGCCGAGATACTCCGGGAACCTGCTCAAATCGGTAATGCTCAAGTGACCGTTTTAGGGGCGAGCGTGGTTCCTGGAAACTTAGTGTCAGGGACGAGCATTAGGCATGAGTGAGTGGTACAAGAAGAGTAATGCAGACGGAGGTTTTGTGTTGAGGTAAAATTGAAAATGAAAGTGTGTACACACACAAGAAATGGAGAGCGATTCGGCATTTATTGAGCGCGTTTTTTCCCCAACACGGAGTTTTACAGGAACGTAACCTTCGCGTTCGGCGAGGTTTTCCTACAAAGGCATCCCTCACGTAACGCCCCACTCACAACGCGAATTAGCAGTTACGCGATTCTTCTTTGAGGGACATACTTTATACTCATGCTACGCGTTTCATAGTAATGTGCTCGAGAAAATATTTTTTTGTAAAATTACATGTTTAAAAAAATATATATTTTCGTTAATAATTAAAAGTAAAAATGTACAGGTTAACCAACTAAAGCAGGGGTCGGCAACCTACGGCTCCGGAGCCGCATGCGGCTCTTTACGGGCTGCTTCTTGACGATATGTACGTATGTACAGTATGTACTCAGATGCATTGCGGCTCTTGAAATACTGAATTTTGTACCGAATTGGAAAGAAATGGCTCTTCTTGTTATTTTGGTTGCCGACCCCTGAACTAAAGTCTCGATCTGATGGTGTCACCACCACATGGCACAGCGCCCAGTGTCACGGGCTGGGCATAGCCACCTTCGATCCGAGTATAAGCAGCCCACGGAAGCATTCAAAAAGCCCCAAAGTTACTCCTTATTAAGTATTCTTTGTGAGTCGTAATCTTTTAAATCTTATTTTATTTGTTATTAAACTTCTTAAGTACATTTAAAAATGTTAACAGTATTATTACGTATTACATTTCTACATAAATCCAGGGCAAAAAAATGAAATTATACTTTTTTTTGGTAATGCAATCCCCCCTTATAACATGCATGTCTATGGGAAAATTGGCTTCATACAGTGTGATTTGACTTACGCGCGTTGTGCGATGGGACAACCTGTATATACATGTTTTGTCAGAAAAAGCAATAGATTTTGATCACTTTGTTATTCAAATATCCAACTCTTCGTGCAAAAATACAATGAAGCTGTTATACTGTATTGTCATGTACTGTAGTTACGTTACTTGGTTACTCCGAGTGTCAATTACCCATATCTCAACACCCCTCCATCCCTCACCACTAAAGTATTTTGTGCATCTAATACACTGTACATACTAAATACATTATTTTAGTTTGCATCTCCATGTACAAAAATCATGTATTACACTATTTTTATAACAATTGTATTGTTTTCTGTCTTGCACACATGTTGGGAAATATATATTTTTCTGTTTACCTTTTTGCCATTGCATTGGATAGTGCTGATAGTGCAGTGTAACCATACAGTCAGTCTAAAGCGTATCACTGTTTTAAGGGCAATCATTTTATTTGCGTTAACACTTGTCTCGCAGAAAATGAAACTGTGAGGATCACGGCCAGGGTGGGAACCCTTAAACGCAAGCGACAAGTGCATGAATATCTAGACCATCTGGCCAAGGATGACTACAGTGACCCCTTCGCTTCTGGCGCTTCACCCATCTATGTTGGCAAGAAGATTGTGGTAAGATTGAGTCTGCGTAATGACACAGGTGCCATAATGGTAAGATGTGAACTCTTTCGCCTGGTATGCATGAGATTGTGGGATCGATCCCTTCTCACCTGCTCTATATTTGGAGTTTTGCATGTCTCTCTCCCCCGTGGTTACGTGGATTTTTCTCCGGGCCCTGTAGTTTTTCCCTTCCACATTCAGAAAATGCGTTTTGAGTTATTTGGCTGCTATAAATTTCCACGTGATAAGCCACTTCGTTGAGCGATAATTTGTGGCCAGGTCGCTTCTGAAAAAGAGCTTTATCATGGCTTACATGGCTGCATATTTTAACTTTTGGAAGGAAATCTCACGTCGGAATTATTTTATTGTACCAAGAATATTAAATTAGGATACTGCTGATAATTTGATGGGCATTATTTACTCGGGATGTGGAATGGAGCATGGAACAGAACATGTATGGCATTTGTTGTTCCTGTTTCATGATGGCCCACAGACTTGACGAGCCACAACGCCCACTTACAAATGACCCACACCATTGTCTCTTGAGTTCTCACCTTGACTTTAAAGTTTTGAAATCCAAATAATAATTTGGAATGCTTCAATTAAATATAATTACCGCTTAAGTGTTTACTGAGAAATGTATCGCTCTCAAATTATGTTATGGTTACAGGAATTTTTTGTTATTTGTTTGAAGAAAAATGTATCAATGTCTAGAAATTTCCATGACAGTGCTCTATGCATTGATGATGAACATTTGAGTTACATTCCCATCCATGGCTAACCTAAGCAAGTGATATCTGAACCGGACCCCCCCCTCCCCTTCATCAACCTGTACTGACCACCGTGGTGAAGTATGGTTAAACAACCCCCGTGACCTACACGGCGTGTGGAGTTCTTAATCCAGCAGTGTTTACAAAAACACAAATTTGGATTACATTTTGGAAACGGTTGCATTTCAAATCTTGATGAATGGGACATTTGTTCGTTAGTATATACCAGGGGTCGGCAACCTACGGCTCCGGAGCCGCATGCGGCTCTTTACGGGCTGCTTCTTGACGATGAGTACGTATGTACTCAGATGCATTGCGGCTCTTGAAATACTGAATTTTGTACCGAATTGGAAAGAAATGGCTCTTCTTGTTATTTTGGTTGCCGACCCCTGGTATATACCCACTTCATATTGGTCATTGTTGCAGGAGACGGCACGTAGGAATTGTATAGTTTTATCATAATAATATTTTTAGTATTTAACCTTGCTTATAATAATGTAGTGAGTTCAACTGAGTCGCAGACGTACTCTTTGGAGGCAACACATTTATTGCTACCAACACAAAGGGGTAACTGCCGCTTTACCAGATGACAACCTAGGGTGGTGGACCAGCAGGCTAACGACACTAATTACACTGTAACTAGCTACGTAACCACCAGGCTAACGACACTTAATTACAGTGGGAGTAGCTACAACGGACAGGACCCCAGCTTGGGTCCAGGTCCACGTGTTGGTGACTCTTCTCGGATGTAGAACGTAGATTCTTCAGGATGACAACAGCAGCCGGTCCCTCTCGGGGACCCGGCTTCTATCCTCCGTGGCGTGGCCGGCTCCGCCCTTAGCCACGTCCACCTTCGAGAACCCTCGAGCAGGATCTCGGCCCTGACACGTGACCACCCCGAGCCCCCACCTGGGATCCCAGTGTAGACTTTACCGGTCACGTGTCCTTCGGGGTCAACCAGAGTGCAATGGCCCTTAGTAACCCCATTCCCATGGCCGGCACTCTCACACCCTATCCTGTAGGGGTCGCCACTGCACGCAGAGCGTGGGGTCATCCAGCACTCCCAGTCAGTGCTCACCGAGCCCCTCTAGGGCCGGTACTGCACCCACGTATACGCGGTGCCTGCGGTGTTGCTACATCGCACGCCGTGCCTCTCTAGGGCCGGCATTACACAGTGACATCCACGATGTCACTACAATAATGTAAAGATAATGATACATTATGATTACTGGATTCCAGTCCTGTCAAAGGGCTCAACAGCAGTGACGATGTGAAGTCTATTGCAATCATTGTTAATGTAGGACTTGAAATATCACGCGCCAAGCGTTCTGTTGCTATGCAAGCGAGCAGCGTACAGTGGGGGCAACTGAGGATACGGTTGTTGTTGTCGTGGCATTAAGGGGGAGGTCGTTAAGAGACGCCACAGGTGTTAGGGGTAACTGAGGACGCAGGCCGGTGATTGGTCAGGAGGGTGAGTGGCTGATGACTGGCGCCAGGCTGGCGGCGATAACATGGTCACGTGAGGCTGGGGGCGAGTGGCGAAGCGGGGGATGAGATAATTAATTGGGGCTGATTGGTTCGGGGATGAAGGCACAGCATAACGGAGAGACGAGAGGCTTGGAGTCTTGGAGTCTTGGTTGGTGTTGGAGTCGGAGTTGGAGTGGTTGGTGCCCGGGACAGAGACGGAGCAGCAGGGAGCAGGAATAGATACGATAAGGGTAGACAGAGAGAATACAGTGTACGGTAGCAGTGGATAGAGAGAATACAGTGTATGGTAGCAGTGGATAGAGAGAATACGGTGTACGGTAGCAGTGGACGGAGCGAGTACAGAGTAGGGTAGCAGTGGAGTAACGGACATTGGGGGAGAGAAAAAGCGAAGTCGCGAAGCGGAGCGAGCGAACGGAGAGACATGGAGTGATGACGAGGAGGAGGTGTGAACTATATGCGTGAATAAAAGAGGAGAAAGACAAAGAAGCTGTCGCGTCAGGACGAGTCCTCCATTAAAGTACATGAAGTTTAGCTATTGTGGTATATTATTCAAAATTTATTTTTAAATTTCCTTTTTTTTGTCAGCTGTAATCCCATTCTCCTGTGGCTGGCACAGATACCGTCTGTGAGTGCGATGAAGACAGATGATCTCGGTCATCTGCAAACTCCAGGGGCAGCAACGCCTAAGTCTCCATTATCAATGTCCTTTGGTGTCCTGGCTAACAACCACATTAGTCCGGGAATGCTGGAGCCTGTGCACAGGTATGGCTCAGGAGGATGGAAGGACACAATCCATGCATCTGTTTATACGCATTCCTATTTTAATGTACAGGCACTGGCTGAGGTTGTTTAATGTAGTACTTTACATGTTGAAGTTTACGTTGGACTCCTGAGGAGGTGGTGGTGGTGGTGTGTCCAATAGACTCATATATGATATCTAGTTTAAGTTTTAGCAAGTCAGTATGCGGCTGTACAAAGCTTTCGAGATTTAAGTGTTAAACTTTAATTTGTATTGAATAGTGTTAGGGCTATGAAGGCTTGTTGAACAAAGTTGAAACAAATAACACGTGTGTTTGAATATCATGCTTGCATTTATTGTTGATCAGTTTAAATATTTGTTCACCCATATTGTCTCATGCAGATACAAATGGTGTCTTTGTAAAAGTTGCAGATTGCTTCTTGACTGTGTATAATAGTTCTTTCCATTGTAATAGAGCATCACTAAAGGGTGGCATTTCCTCCTTTTGTTTCACTTTCAGGAAAGACGCAGACCGATACATCTTCCAGATGCAACGCAGCAAGGTCGGATGCAATTGGGGTAATCTTAACCTAAAAAAGGTACGACTTCATGCATCTGTCGGTGGTTGATTTTTTTAATCTTTGGAACTTAAAACCGCTTCATCACAGTGTTGTCTATAGCACATGCGTGACAGATGTCACATGTATTTCAAACTTCAGTATAAGCACAACAATGACTTGGTTATAAGCCAATCAGTTTCAAAGACAACGCATATATTATCAGAGCATGTTTGTTTGCACGTTTTGCCACACGTAGTTGTGATTAATGCAGAATTGATGCCTTGTAAATGGTATCTTATTTGGTGTTTGAACATCTTAAAACTGTACCTGTTTTATTGCCAGAAAAGGTCAAACCTATTTCTATTTTTCAAACTTTGATACTGACAAAAAGATCCCATAGGTAAATAGGATTTGATACTAAATAGTTTTTGTGCACTCACATTTGTGATGGAAAGGAAATATTTCTTAAGTCAGGAAGTGCCGCACACACACGCAATCTCAAGATCACTTGTCTTGCATGACCCATGGGCATACTCTCGATTATCCACGCTGACGACGGGGAGGACGTTCGCGGATAATTCAAAATCACGGATAATCCAAAAATAGAACATTTTCACGGATGTCTTGCCAAAAACTAACAATCAAACCGATCGATACGTGTGCTCGGTGTTAACACTTTCCTGCTCCCTCGCACGAAGTGGATAGCATAGCCACACCAATCAACATCACTCACACTCCGCCCACTGTTGTGAAGATATGCAACTACTGTACTGTAGAGGCGATCACGTGAATTTCGAATTAACCGGAGCGCATATTTTTTCGGTTTAAGCACGTGACTTGTAATAAACATTTCCAAGAATAACAATGTATAACTGTTTTTAGGTTATTAACTTTGGCTTAAGGGAAAATTAACGTTATTAATTTACGTCAAAATCTCAGCAGCGCGGTTAATCCGCAAATCATATAAACCGCATGGCGGATAATCAAGAGTCTACTGCATTCAGATATTTGTGCAGGCCACACAAGGTCCTTGCAGCCCTTGGAAATGAAGTTGGTCCAATATTGTCCCCTCATGGCCAATATACAGACGACACTTGCCATAAACTCATTAAATAAACTCGTTATTGAACATTATGAAGGATCTAGGGCTGTAGACCACCAACTTAGGAAGCTGACTGAAGTGTTCTCACTTGTGAGGCTTTTGCCTGAGTGCGATGACAATGACACGTGTGATAATGACAAAGGTGACCAGCCAGAATTTAAAGGTTCATTGACTAAACTTGTACCCAGTGGTTTTACGTGTGTTGAACTTCTTTCACACACCGTACGTAGCCAATCGTGTTCATATTTATATGTCTACAGATGGTATGTTCCGACAAAGTGTACCACCATCGTCAGACACACGTGAAGTTTTTATGTAAATTTGAAATGTTATTTTTATTGTTTCAGAAGGTGTGCAAGGATGATTCTCACAAGAGAACCACCACCCCAATAAACCATTTCACAACTGAGAGGGGTAAGCTGCAAGTCAAACGTCTCTTTATGGATAACCAACAGAACTTAAAAAAAAATACTTTTGCGATAGAGCCTATTTTATATACTGCGTTTTGTGTCTGCGTACTCAAACCAAGGGTCGTTTTATGCATCTTTATTGGTGGAACAAAGTTATTCGTGGGAATTCCAGTCATCTGGCAATACCAGTCTTTTAAAATGGCAATCACTATTTGCAATCTATAATGTGATACTCATTTTATAAATCCTGGAGGAATGAGCCACGTTGACGAATTGAAACTTTGAACATGATTTGAGCTTCAACCTTCTCATTATGAATTTCCCCTCCTGTTACTCTGGAGTGCCACGGTGGCTAGGAGATTTTAACGACCTCGCCTAGTATACAGGAGGTTGTGGGTTTGATCCCGATCCTAATGCCATGGTCGCGTGGATTTTTTTCCGGATCTTCTGGTTTTTCCCTCCACATTTAGAGTCACGCTTTTAGAGTATTTGACTGATATAAATGTGCACGTGATTAGCCACTTCGTTGAGCTATCATTTGTGGCTGGGTCGTTTCTGAAAAAGAGCTACATAGCTCAGTGGGCCTTGCCTGGTAAAATAAAAATAGTTTACACTTTAGTTTTTAATTAACATGATGCATTATCTATGTACAGTATTACACTACAACAGACTCCTATAACAGATGCTCATCGTAATTCAAACGCTGGCCACAAATGTGTGGCGCATTCCAAAATATGTAACATTAACTTATTTATAAATGGAAAGATGAAAACATTGCAACTGTATTAATTTCTGGATTCGTGCACACATTGATAAATGTTTCTGTAATAATTCTAAACACATTTCTTTAACCTGACGTGGTCACTTGTTGTGTTAGACCGGGATGTTTTAGTGTCCTTCAATTGCCATCCAAAAAAAATACATTGACGGTCATACGTGAATGATTGAAATGTTTTGCAAATTCATGACGGTCTAAAATTTCACCTTGTTTGTTGCACTAAGTGAACAAGGGATATATGAACGTCACTGCACAGGTTACTGATTACAATATTTCTCTTCCAGCAGCAGTTCCAACGCTGGCTAGCAATGGCATTTTAATTGAAGATAATATTTTGCCAAATAGCCTGGACAAGGACAGCGACGAAGAGGAAGATTACTACTTTTCTGAATGAGTTCCAAAATATTTGGAGCACATTCAAACACATCTCAGCTGAATGTTTTCTCACTTGTAGTTCCTTAGTATCATATCGGATTGGCTGTACATAAAAACACTTTGCTTACTTTATTAAGTAACCAGGGTCTAATGGGTGTCATAATAAAAGCACATGTATTCACAGTTACCACTGACAGTAATTCGTCTTTAAGAGAAAGTAACAATTGCAAAAAAATGTATGGAAACAATGCTTCAGACTTACGAACTGACGTGCGATATATGGAGCTGTAATATATGTACATTTTCATCCACTGAATTTATAAGTTTACTATTGACATGTTAAGATGCAACAATGTTGATAATATTACGTTTACCCTTAATGCTTTATCAACTTGAATGATTATCCAATATTTGTAAAAAAAAATATTGAGACGCGTGCAGAGTTATAGCACATTTCCACACATTACATTTTACAGTCACATTTTAAGTTAGGAATTAGGCATAGATTCAGCCGGCAGAGATTCAAAATCTGAAGCTTTATTTGAGACTGCGTGAGGAATCCGATGTGCTATGAAGCTCTTTGTCACAGATGTCCAGCAGGCTTCATGCTAAAGGAAAACAGATTTTTAAAATTGCTGTGTCAAGTCAAGTAAAAGGGCTTTAGGAATCCAATATTCAAATAGTTTTCCACGATGGGTATTTAAGAAGACCAACACAGGTGATAGCATTGTAAACATACAAATACATAAACATAGCAGGTGCCTTGTACATTAAAATTGCAGTGTGGATTTCTCTTTGAAAGTTTTATTCTGCTTAATACATCTGTATCCATTTCCATTTTTTTTATGTCAGCACTTGCTTCTTGAGTGCTGGAAATTATGTAATTGTTGTAGACGACAATTTTACTCTCACTAATAATCTGTACAAATTGATTACAATACGAGTGGAATTGTCGTACGGTTGATTTGAATGCTTTGCTTTCGCCATTAATCTTGCAAAGCTCGCGTCGTTGCTGTTATGTACGAGTATAATATTCACGTAAAGCAGGTGAATCCACATGTGCAGTGTCACTGTTCCTCCGGATCCAATGTCGAAAAGTATGCTCGCATTCAACCAACAACGGTGAGGTCTGCTCAAATACCCGGCAAGGTGTGTGCCCTCCACGAGGGGCTTGTCTGCATGTTTAACTTATGCTGGTAGAACCTCCTGGTTACACCAGCCCACAGGGGATTATTGTGTCCGTCCGTCGTGCATCCAAAAATGGAAGGGGTGGGGCTGGGTCTGGGTGGAGCTGGGTCTGGGTGGAGAGGGGAGGGTGGGGAGGGTTGGGGGTGGGGAGGGGCTGGTCACCCCGTGGTGCCCTTATAAAACTCAACGTTTAACCTACTCACGCCGGCGTGTGCCCTCCCTCACAGTCGGGCATATTTGCGGAATACACCACGCCGCCGTTGACCCTGGCCATTGACCGAGCAACCCAACGTTCCTACCAGCTCGCTCCGCAGGAATGTGTTTTCGCACCGTACGTAGCCAACCGTGCAAATCGGAGGCCGCGGGGACAAGAGGGCTCGACATGGACATATTGTAAAGATTGAACATGAAGTAAACAACAGTACATGGTTTTATGATGCCCGTATCTCCTTCAAGTAAAGTTTGAAGGAATGTTTTAAAGAGAAGTAAAAAATTAATAACTAATTATTACTACATTGCCTATGTTGACTTCGACCAAATAAACTGTTTTTAAAGTCCCAATGCTTTGTTTATCATCTACTAAACTGTTCTCTCATATATGAACATTCTCTCTCTTGAATTGGATATTCTCATGCAAAACCACAACGGGTCATACATGAAACGAATACACTATCTTCTGAAATGTTATATTCGTAGCGTGTTTTGAGTTGAAAACATGGTATGTAAAAAAACTCAAATTCAGTTCCACAAGGCTATATACTGTAAATGATCTGTAAAACGAATTTAAATACTGTCAAAACTTGCAGAGGATACTGCAATAACGGTAGCTAGAAATTCACCAAGAGTTATGCCTTAAATCACAAAGTTATTTTGATCTCATACAGCAACGGCCTATTTCCCTCAAATTGGCTTGAAACGCAAATCAAAAGAAACTAGAGTAATGCTTTTCTCCAACAAGCGGACCAAGTGAGGTCGTGTAGGAGGTAGTATTCTTCTGACACGAGTTCTTTTGTAAGGACTTTCCAAAGTAGTGTCAAACCAGACTAAATACATTGCCCCCATCGGTGTGTATACTGTTGTTTTCCCACAGGACAGCATTATAGTACACACTGGGTATTTTTGCTTTTATTTGGAAAGGACCAAGTCGTTACATCAGCCTTGTGACTGCTTTGACATTGAAAACAAGTTTGCATTGAATATTATAAACTGTGTGGATCAGAAGATCGAAAGCCTGCTGTTTTGGAGGGCTAAATGAAAAAGAGATGCACATTAAATAGTTGGGTGGTCATGTCATGGGCAGGAACGGCAATCCAATCCGACATTTTTGCAGGGTAACTGCTTAAGGCACACCAAATAGTTGTATTCATTCAAACGAGAAGCAGGCTTCAGGATAAAACAAAATAACGAAGTACAATACTAAACATAGTCGTGTCTTAGTTTTTCGGTGTTGATAGAAGCTAATTGAGCTGAGTTACCCAACATTCTGGCAGACACGTTTTAATTCAAATCCTGTGCAGTAATCTTGTCATTATTCATAAACATCAACATATTACAAGTCACTGTTTGGTCTTATCTTAACTTACAAACCTTTTTGGCATTCTACTGGTGGATAAAGCCCTTCCCAACCCATGTTGGTCATCGGGGTTGATTGAACATCCTTCACCAAGTTGGTAAGGAGTGGAGGTGATTGCGTGACCCAGGGCCGGTTCAGTCCCCACTCATGTCAGCTGTGGCTGGAACTCAAACTCAGCTCATCGGATTCTTGACAGTGAACTCGTGCTTAGACTTGTTTTTGCAGTGAATTCGATTCAATTGATTTTTGGCTATGGCCACAATGATCTGCCCATATTTGTAGCATAACCAAAACCAATATTCGCCACTTAAGTGACGGCGCCGTCACCAAGGTGCCTTGTGCCAGGCTGGGTTTACTTTGAGGCCACGTGACGTGTTGAAGGCTCGTTGACAGGTCTCGGGACAGACCCAGGTGCCATGGGTTGGCTGACTGACTGTGAGATGCACCATCTCTATGTCCAGCGTGATGGATTTTAGCTGCCCGGCGCTCTGCTCGTTGTGAGCGTCGCTCCTCTGCCCTCCGTTGTTGCTGGAAGGCGACTGTTTCCAACTGCTTCCACCACCCACAGGCAAACATTCAATTGCCACGTGTACCAAGGGCTTAACGCACCAATAATAAGCCTACGTGTTAAACTGACCAATAGTTATTGTTTCAGCTCACAGGTAAGTCACCAGTTCTAAAACTCAGTGGTCTAACAAAAAAAAACGAGTATGAATGATAACACGATTAAAAACAACTCGTAACTTTCCATCAAGACACGTGGAAAGCACTGATAGTTTTACAAGCGATGTCGACTACTCAAGAGATTACTTCGGTTAGGAATGGCACAGAGATCACAAATGGCGTGGTTGGTTAACGTCTTGAATACTTAAAACATGTTGAACCATGAAGAATACTTAAAACATGTGGTAACATGCTTGTTAGCTTTTTGAAACATCCTGTACATACAAAAATCACATTAATTAATAACACTACCTTGTATAAAAGGAAATATGTAATATGTGCCATTTCAGACGTGTCCTTGTGGTACGTAAAAGGGTCATGGCCCAGAATTTCACCTATTAGATAGCTTCCCCTTCATGGCAGGGCTATTGATGAATGTGGAGTTTTTTTGTTACTTGTAAAACCACTTCCAAAGCAGTTATCACCAAATTATACGTGTTCTATCGCCTCATTAATGTGTTACTAAGACAGGGATATTGCTAAAATTGGCCAAACAGGGCACCAGGAGTGCTTTCATATCGGTCTCGTGGCAAACGCCAATAACGTCTTGGCCAATGAGCAACATCTCGCATGTTTACCTATCACACAAATGTATGCCTAGGTCAACGTTACTTGCAGTGCTTTATTTTGTGACGCTCAAATTCACACTCTTAACATCTGTACCAGATGGCAAACTTTTCAACAAACTTGGGACTCGCAAGGACTTTGCCAAGACGGGATAAATCAACACAGTATTATACACAGAGAAAACAGCGGCACAGTTGAACCCCCCCCCCCCCCATTAAACATTACCTGCAAACAAGACACCCCCCCCCCCGCCTTTCATCAACGTTTCCGCGGTGTGCCCATGCTGCTAATTTGCACATGAAGGAAAAAAAGAAAACGAAACGTCACCTGGGTATTTAACTACCCTCCCCCCCACGTGAAAAACGCAAGGCGAGTGATAAAAGCTGCTCGCGGTCCTTGACAATGCAAACCAAAGATTCTGGGAGCTTTCCGTTACACGTGGAACGGAATGTGTTGTTTGTCGGCACGTTCCTACCCACCCCCACTGGACATGTGTGAAAGAGCTTTATAGCTCATCGGATTCCTTCAGTATAAATAAAAGATCGATTCTGTATCGTGCGAGGAAGCGCAGATGGGCTTTCCCCAATTGTTCGCAATATCAAGGGCTGCAGAGGCTGTTTCGGGAATTGCTTCAACCCTTCTGTAGAAAACATGCTGTGGAATAAGGCGACTGGACACGTCTGCACTGGCACATCACCAAATGACGAGCAAATTCATCCATCTATTCCACGTATATATTAGCAAAGGCGCATCCCCATGCAAAATTATACTCGTCGTGAAATACTGACGTTACCAAGGGGAAAAAAATATCCAGTTAAATATCGTGATCGCAACACATTTTGTTGCGTCTGTAATCCAACTTACTGTGAATCTTAACTGTCAATCGTAGCCGTGTGAATCATAGAATATTAACATATACTTAAAAAAGTGCACATTCAATAACATTGCCTTATAAGGAAAAATAAAAAAATCGGCCACATTTTTGGTCATCGCCCTTCTTCTTAGCCTCTCTGCACTACGAAGTGCCATTGGCTGAACCGTCACCTATTTATGTCTCAGCCGAATGCATTGTTGACGAATGAGTGTCATTTGTGCACCACTGCCAACAGAATATCACCAAATAATTTGTTAAATTCAGAGATATGGTATCTGTGTATATTACGATTCACTGAGGGTGAATGTCATAGAGTGTATACATTATACTATAGTTAATTACAGACTTGGAATTTTCCGATTTTCACTGTGGTTATGCTGCTATGCAAAAATCCCTTCAAGAGGAATAACTAACATTGATGCAAAACTGTTTAAATGGTAATGAAAACACTTCTGAATATATCTCCGATCACCAATTCATCAGGGACATTAATATTTTCAAATAAAAAAGCAGTATGCATGTTTCGCTCATATATACTTATGATTCAATACAAAAAACTCAAAAGTATTTTCTCAAAGTATTTATGTTAATTTTTTCATACATTTGTGCATACAACTTTAACTGTAAAGTACTCATATCAGAAAAAAATTATCCCAAGACCGTTCCACTTTGAATCACACAGGAATTTACCATGGAAAGACAAAAAGCATTACCACTTAAATGCAAACGAAAATTGACCTTCAATAACCCTAAATGCAACATGAAAAGCAATGTGACTTCAACAAATCAATTAAATGGTTAAAAGAATAGATTTTTTTTACATATTCTTTGAAAACCGAGAAAAGGCTAAAACCCACAATACATCAACAACTAGCCAAGGTTATCATCAACTATGTACATGATATTGTCTCCACCATATTAAAATGTACACAAATCATTTGTTGGACCGCACACGGATGTCAACAGACATTTTTATTGACATGTTTAGTGGAAATGCCAACGCCAATAATTTGTGCCTCTCCAGCCCCACACCCCTCACACCACACCCCGAGACTCCCTCGCCGCATGTGACTAGTCTATCTTGACGGCCGCGTAGATTTTACGAATGAATATGTACGCAGCGATGAAGCCGATCGTTCCGGTGAGCAGCCAGAAGGTGACGATCATCAGTCCAGTGTAGCCAAAGTACAGGAGCGACGGAATAAACTCCACAATCTCCAACTGCAAAAGCAGAGATTTCGTTTAAAATACATTTTCATAAATATAGATTTATCATGAAAAATAAGCATGTACACACCAGCGTAACTATACCTACGCAAATCTGTATTCAAATAAAAATGTACAAGTAATATTACTATTCAAATAAAATGTTCATACATTTCAAATCAGAAATTGGACTACATACTGTGAGCACTGTTATCCTCTGGCCTTTCACGTATTAGTGAATGCCAATCAGTCATGGCTTGCTATATTACGGCGATATAGGAGTTGTCATCATGCCAGTGTGATGAAACCTGGTATCAAAATACTGTCCATTGAATAGAACAAAGATTTATATTAATAATAAATTGCTAATGATGTTAAAATATACTATAAAACATGCTAATAAGCATTACATTTTTCAATAATTAATGTCGTTTTTTTTTGCATTTCAATGCTGATGTAATGAACGCTTCTAAGTTTAGTTGAGTATTGGAAATGTATGGATTTTAGCGATTATTAATTTGTACGGGAATTTAAACTGCAACAATTAAAATATATTTTGGAATACTAACTGGAGTTGACTCGGCATATTGAACAACATTCAGCACATGTGTAATAACAGCCATAGAGGGTTCACGTGGGGATTGGCTTGCCGGTCCTGCTTTGTAGCCAATAAGGGATGAGCCAGAGAGCATGGCCTCTGCGTGATCACGGCATGTTAGCAGGGGTGAATGGCCTGGCCATTCGGGGCCCCAGCTAATGGGGAGCCGGATCAGAGGCGTGGTCCCGGGATTGACAGGGAACCATCGAGAACGGTCAATGCTGTCTATGGAGGATTGGCTGGGGGGTACCACGTGACGAAGGGATTAAGAGAGAGTGAGAGAGAACGATCGAGAGCAGACTGGGGAACGACAAGAGCAGGAGTCACGCGCGTACGGGGGCTCTGGGTGCCACGTGCGCGGTGGGGACTTGGTGTGAAGTCTGCCCTCTCTCCGTTGTCTGCCAGCAACGGAGAGTGTGTGTGTAAGGTGTATTTGTGGAAGTGGAAATAAAAGGACTGATTCCGAAGCCGTCTCAAGAAGGTTTATTACACATGGAAGATGATGCTGTACCCAAATATTATCGAGGGACTATTTGAAAGTTACTTTTGAATTGAATTTTGTGATCAAAGATGCACATGCGGGAATGCATAATTGTCGTCGCTGTATCGCAAGTTACAACTGTAGCACAGAAAAACTGGGGTTACCTTATTGAAAAAGTAGAAGACGGCATACATTAGAACGTAGAAGGCAGATCCTCCCGACACAATGAATGTCCTCCACCACCATCTGTAATCCTGAACACACATCGTACGAATGCATTAACACCGAGGGCACAAACACCAGAATAGGAGACCACACACGCGAGAAATCCGACAAAAAGCCACCAGGAAGTTAGACTGTTGCATGGCGATATTGAAATGTTTGAAAGTGTACATATAAGAAATTCAAAAATATTTTTAATTAATCTGTGTATGCCTTCAAAAAATTACCGAAAAAACACTTTCATGCTAATAAAGCGCTAGACACAACTCCAGTTTAGAGAATATTTATGCATTTTCCAAATTCTGCTAAACTACCATGCAGAATTCCCATCCGCAAATCCCATCACGGGAAGCAGCGCATATCTACAACTCATCCAATTATTTATGGATCCCTACGATGTTGCAGATTATTGCCCTGCAGCTGCAAATAGCCGCCCGCACTGTTGTGGTTGACTTTACTTTTCAGTGCCAAGATGCACCATTAAGTGCACTTTGCGGGAGACCTCACACGCAGAGCGATCTCGCTTTCCCCATCACCCTTCAACATCAGATTCACAAAGATGCCTAATAGTGTGTTAATTATCACTGTCAGCAGTCGCAGTAATCATAGATATTTATTGACGGGATACTACACCAATGCTCAAACCACTGAGCTGGTGATCCCCTAGTCTGATGCACCTCAAAGTGTTTCAAGAAAAAACTTGTCCAACCAATGGAACTCTAATATGGAAAGGGGAGATTGCATTTCATGCTGTGACCTTACACCTCAATCATACCACTGAGAATCATTACATCTGCAAGGCTTGCGACGCCCATCTCGAAAGCAACGTGGTGCTAATCGCCTCATCACCAGCCACGGAGACGAAGCAGGCGAGTATGCCCTCAGCAAAACCAACCCGTTTCAGCAATTGTCAAGATATGAATGATTTTTTGATACAGTAGTTCCTGTTGATAATATTAAGTTATTATGTCTTTCTCACAGATTACTTTTCATTGCTGAACTGTTTATAACCTCAAAGGTAATAAGCCACCATGTTGTAATAACCAACAGATTATTATACTGTAAATCAACAATATAGCACAGTGACTATAATATGGTAATTTATAAACATGCAACCTTCACAAAATCGACGATTACAAGAAAAAAACAAGAATAAAAGTACAATAACAAGTTTGAAATTTGTGTAAAAATTATCTCCAAATGTTTCTGATAAATAAACAAAACAACATGCATGCTACATGGGTATCATCATACTAGCACATGACACGGGCACTTTCTTTGGTTGAGGTATTTATCGGGTCAATATAAACCAGCCTACCTCGGCACACAGTTGAAAGTACACCATGACGATGCTGATCTGGGAGCAGGAGATCACCAGGATGACGAACACAAGGAACAGGAATCCAAAGAGGTAGTAGAACTGATTCTCCCAAATGGCCTGTTAAAAAAAAAGAATATCGTTTAAACAACAGCTGCACTAGAATCCTTCCTCAATGCTGTTACACAAACACTACATTGCAGCCCATCAACGTGTACAATAAAACATTCCCACAAGCAGTGTAAAAAAGAATGGAGGACATACGATGTCAACTGGAGAAATGCAAGGAAGGGAAAATATGCGCTAGAGTGACATCATCAGAGATTGATGGTGCCGGAACGGCTGGGAAGAGAGAATGTACGCGCACAGCAAGGGTTCTGCTCAGCCTGATAGCTACGAGGCGCCTGGCTCTGTTGGACATGTCAGACGGATGCCAGTTATTTATTTAGAGATAAACATTAAGCGTTACGACATTACTTAAATTTAGCATGAACGTTTGTATGCAAGGCAGAAACAGAAATGTTAAATCAATACAAATGTAACATTTGCGACGTAAATCAATCTCTCCCATCAGTGCACTGGACAGCCTTTTGTTATTTGATTAATTCGGCTGTGTGGTGTGGAGCTTAACTTTAAATAAGTATAACCCGTAAAAACAAAGTTTTTCACTATAAATCCTTTATATGCGTGGCGGCTAGAGTCCTCTCGTCCTGTGGCTTGAGATGGCTGCCACCTATGGGTCAGATGATTGTCTGCCAGTATTAAGCAATTGGTAATTAAATATTTAATTTCTTTTCCCTAAACAGTGTAAAATTTTGGAAAAAAAATTTCACGAACATGAATTGTCTTGCACGAGTCTGTGTGCAAAATGTCAGCTCGATTGGATCACGGGAAGTGGGTTAAAAAACGACCGAAAGATTTGCACGGTCATAAGCAAGCAAGCACGCAAGCACGCAAGCAAGCAAGCAAGCGAACTTAATATAAAGGATTTAAAAAATTAAGCTACGCATGGTCTCGCGGCAGCTGCCAACGTGCTCCAAGTGAACTGCCTGTGCTCTGGTATTGCTGCTGCAGAGCGTGTGAACATCACCGAGAGACCCCCCGCCCACCTCCCACGCATTTCACAATTAGCACTATTCTAATTCCTGCATTTTCCATAAATATGCTAAATTCATCTTCATATGCAAATTCTTTTGTCAAGGTGCTCTTCCTCCTCCCTCCCAGCTTAAATAGACGCCCCAAGCCTAGGACGTGTCATTCAGACTCTGTCTTATCGACAGACATGTTCTTCACCTGAGGACGGCTGCTTGCGTTGTGGCCGAAACGTCGTGAGAATTGTTTTATTATGTTTTATTTTTATTATTTTATTACTTCCCTACTACGTGACTTTACCGAAAGAACCAAGAAGATGAATCCCTGCAGTCACGAAAGCTTTAAATCGAAATTTAGTTCAGGCCGTTTCTGTATAATTATTATTTTAGTTTTCAAAAGATACCTACACTGAAAATGAAGAACAGCTCAATGAAAACCGCACCAAATGGCAATATTCCAGCCATGAGAATTCTGTAAAGAAAATAGAAAACAACGTCAACAATCAGACTAGCAGAGTGTTTTTTTTTGTATGTAATGCCACATCACCATACATCATTTTATTATTTAGTGCCGGCAGGCAAAAAAAGTTGTCATCAAATAGCTCAAGAATGTTGTTAACGACAAGGAAAAATGAATGAACTTGGATTTATTAACGTGTGATTATGAATAATTTAATCTCAAACAATATAACAAATTAGCAGTAGGAATCAATGCTTTTGAATATAGGTTCACACAGAAAGTAATGCCCCACTGACAAGGAATACACACACATGTTCTTGTTCCTCGATGGCATGAAGCCTTTGAGATGGAAGGGGATTATATGGACAAGTAATATGCACATAACCAATAAATCTGCTAACTCTATGGGTAAATTTCACTTTTCCTCGATACATTTCGGCAGAGAAAATAGAGCGGGGAATTACTTTCTGGGCTTCCTCGTCTATATTTTTGTATCACAATAGACAGTTAAATAAGTAACAGTTTACAACACTGTTTCAACCTTTCGCAGTTAACCCCCAGCAACATGCAGCTTTAAAACATGATTATTTTTTTTAACAATTGTTTCTTTACCCAAGCAAGCCCGAGTCTCTCACTATTACTGGTGTCTCTCCCATACGTAAACTTCAGTGTCGTATTTTGTTTAATTAGGAAACAAGTTAAATAAATCTATCGAATTTAGACAGAGAAAGTTACCTCAAATAAAATCAACATTTTTACTTAATTACAATTGTAATATACGTTGACCCTCTTTCACACCGTACAACGCCAACTGTGCTAATCTGAGGTGTGGGGAAAGGACAACAAACTAAACACGAACATTCGTTCTAAAGAAATCAGTTTTAAATCATCCTGGCCATGGAGGAGGGGGTTGGAGGGGTGGGGAGTGGACAGAGTTGAAGGGCCGAGACCACGAGACAGGACCAAAGCCATTCCACGAACTGCACGGCACGGCTTGGGAATGCCAGTGGGAACGCACAACACGCTTTTGTCACATAGCAGCCACCATTGGAAGTGAAAAACTTCAATACAGGCCTACACCGCTCATCAACACCGAGGTGAATGAACCATGTAAAAAACACGTGACGGCAATTAAATAAGCACATTTTATGTTCTACTTGAGTATTCCATGTTTCGCTTTGCATGGTGTATGGGCTAAGATTCTTCTAGTGTAAAACTGCCATTTCATCCAATTGTGTATATATACACACGTTTATATAAAAATAACTATATCAATGTATTAAATTAAATTCTTTGCACATGTACATTCTTAGGGATGCATTAAAATAATGCAACAAAACATGTCTAGTGAAAAGTGAAATGTCACTACTTACCCAATGAACTTATTCATGTACCAGCGCTGCTCTGGTATCTGTCGAGGGATCTGGTTTGTTCGGACGGGATTCTCATAGCCCTTCTTGCGGAAGCCAAAGTAGTAGCCAAGAAAGACGAGTGGCATTGATATTCCAAACCACATGCACAGCAGGGCCACCATGGTGCTGAATGGAACCTGTCTCACGGTCAGAAACAATGATAACTGAAGTCATCTCAGATGTGCCTGAAGCAAATCATTTTATGCACACGTACGCTGTTAGCAATGATACAACTTTTTTAATGAATGAAACAAGTACATTACTCTATGAGACCTCATTTAACAGTGGCAAAATATAGTAATAGGTTTTTACCCTTTCAACTGGTACAAAACTGACACCTTTATACAAGGCATCATGTTTGCAATAACCACAACACAAGCAGTTTTTGTTTGCATTTTGACTGCTTGTGTTGTGGTTATTGCAAACATGATGCCTTGTATAAAGGTGTCAGTTTCTGTACCAGTTGAAAGGGTAAAAACCTATTACTATATTTTGCCACTGGTAAATGAAGTCTCATAACGTAAATTCTTACCCTGACCTCTAAATACTCTGATAGTGCGCTGTTTTTGAGTTGTACGCCTTTTGGCGTCATCTGGTCCAACACCAATGGAGACTAGGCTCTAAGAAAAGCTGTCTCGGGTGTGGACCAATCAACTTCAAGGACAGTGCATATCATTATCAGAGTTGTTTCTTTTTGTTTGCATTTTGACTGCTTGTGTTGTTTCTAGATTTGAAGCTTTCGTGACTGCAAGGATTCATATTCTTAGGTTTTTTCGGTAAAGTCACGTCGGTAAAAATTTAATTAATAAAAGTAAGGCTTGTGTTGTGGTTATTGCAAACATGATGCCTTGTATAAAGGTGTCAGTTTTGTACCAGTTGAAAGGGTAAAAACCTATTACTAAGTACATTACTCTAAGTGAGCAACACAGCTGAGTGTATTACGTTCCATGATATAACTTTCACATAATATTTTTCAATATTTAACGACTTTTGGAATGTTTGCAGTACGTTCAAACACTTAATTGTCTCCGTATGTTAATTTAAATTAATCATCTGTATACCAAATAATGTAATGTTCATTGATAGCAGTCCAACTTGTATAAGTTCATTCAGTTGAGCCCAGTTCCAAGAGCCGTATTTTCTAACTAGCTGCGCAAGAGCAAAGTGCATGTCTTGGGCTCGATGTAACATCGTCTTAAGATGTGGTTACGCAAATAGTATTGCATAAAAAGACACCGTGAATATCTGAAGTACCGCAAAGGCCAATGTTCACTCGTGAACGTATGTAAAATACAACATTCGATTTCCATCTATTAAAGAGAAAAGGAATGTATCGATACTTGCAAATGTTTCCAAAAAATAACTGTTTAACTAATCATTTACACTTGCACATGGGGAGAATGCCACTGCATTGCCTATTTAAATGCAATGTTCAATGTCAATGATGTTAAATGATAGTCAATCGTGCATAAACCATGCTGCCTTTCATACGTATGTATAACTGGCCCTCTACGTGTCCGAAGTACACAACCGAGGCGTGCTGTTCGATCAGAGCCTGACTATGCGCTCGCAGGTCGCAGCGAGGTCAGAGCAGGTTATTACCGCCTCCAAACACTCCCGAGGATTGCGCCCGCTGCTCTCCACCCCAGACTTGGAATCATGAGTTTATGCCTGTCTCAACATGACTGGATTATGCGAACGCCCTCCATGCAGAGGTACCACTAGGACTGGTGCAGAGGTACCACTTGGATTGGTGCGGAGGCTCGAGTGAGTGCAGAATGCAGCTGCTCGGATGATTCGACGGGTGATCCATTTTGAACACATTACGCCAACCCTCAGCAGCCTGCACTGGCTACCACCAGACCATTTCCGCATCCAATTCAAGGTTTCTGCTACAAAGCACTGCATTGGCTTGGCCCATCTCCCTGAAAAACTGTATCTCCCTCCAATCCTCAGGCACATACAATAATTCCGTTCCGTGGGAACGGCAAGACTTGCACAGCCCAGGATTTTTCACTCAAAGCTGGGGGGGACAAAGCCTTCTCTCGAGGACCTTCACAAAAATCTGGAACACCCAGCCAGCGGACGTCCCAAAAATGCCGAGTGTCTCTCAATTCCGTGGTATGTGCAAGACACATTTATTCACAGTTGCTTTCTCATGGAAGTAGTAAATATAGTCAATCGTGCATAAACCATGCTGCCTTTCATACGTATGTATAACTGGCCCTCTACGTGTCCGAAGTACACTTATATTTACTACTTACCTCTCTTATGCTATTCGTTGCGCAAGGTTGCATCTTATTTGCGCTCAGTTGCAATTTACTTTGCTCAGTCGGTGTTAGCCGCCGAGGTCGCGATGGGTTTCTTTTTTCATTTCTCTTGCTCTATGCCCCCCCCCTGTACCGTTCCCTTTCTGTTGCATTCTGCACTGATGCCTACTTTATTGAGGGTGATATTGGAACATAAAATACAGATTGATTGATTTATTTTCAGAATGGTGCAAGGTTTTTTCTGTAATGCGAGCAGCAAACCATTTGACAAATGAAGAAAAGGTTACATTTCCCTGAACAGTAACAATGTTTTCTTACCGCACCGGACGAGTGCTTTCCCCAGATGAAGAAGTTGAGAATGAAGCAGACTCCAAACACGACTGCAGGGTATATCGTGGTCGTCTGCAAACGTAGAAGTCATACTTAACGCGTGACATAGGTGTTTTATGAGATAAAGGGAAGATTTCTTACAGAGTGCTAAAATATTACGATTAAGACTGCAAAGGTAAGCTAAACAAAAAATAATTATGAAAAATTACAGTTTCAATTAAAGTTAACATATTATCATCAACAAACATGGACTTCACCCAGAAAGCACCCTTTTTCCAACGCTGTCCTTTCAACGTGCGATACAGTCGGCCTGAAAAGTATCCTCCAAATAGTCTGCAAAGTGAAAGATAAGCACAACAGCTTAGCTGTTAGAAGCTACAAATATACCCATTGAAAATAGTGTATTTGACTGGTTACCAAGGGATTTTCTGTAGTTTCATTAAATCCACTTCACGCCAGGTAAGTATATATACAATTGCGGGTCACAATGTTTTTTCAGACCTTTAGTTTAGAATCCCTCTGAATGATTATTTTCATGGTATGCCAACAAGAGTAAATATTGTCCCAAAAATCACACCAAGGAAAAAACTGTACACATCTCTCAGGATCCCAATCATGGCCATGTACAGCAACTACGGTACACTCTTCGGATTACAAGCACTCACCCCATGAACATGAAGAGAAAACAAGAGGTGGTCATAAGTGCACCGCGACTTGAAGGAGACAGCATGCCCAGACCTGCCACGACTGATGAGACGAAAAAAATTGCGTGATATTTGTTATGGGGGAGGCACAAAATAACGAGAGTAGTTTCATAATTGCTGTGATTTTTTTTTATACCTATTGCTTTATCATGCCGATTGGATCGCTTTTAACTTACTGATGACGATTAAGACCATGAGAAACAGTTGGATGCCAGAACCCAGAAGTGAAGAGAGTAGCATCGGGTACTGTGGAGGCCTGAAGACATCTCCATGCACAAGCTTCCAGCCAGACTCCTCCATAGTGTCCTCCTGTAACGGACAACGGCCATGGCGAGTTATTAATCCTGTAATACGTTTCATTTTATTTTATCAACGACGTACATTCACATGTACAGCCCTTTGTGAATCCACTGCTGGATGAGGGCCTCCCCCACACTATGCGGGGACACGTTAATAATTGTTTTTCATACGAGTGCTTTCACGCCGGGGCACCTCAAAGTGCTTTACGCGCAAAAGGCGACTTACATCACACAGGTAACCTCAAACATTGGAGCGGCTCCCAGTGGCAGCCGTCGCTGTACAGCACATGGTGACTCAGCACCTGACCTGCAGCAAATGGGCATTACGCTGCCAGTAACGGGCAATGGTTGCGGTGTGTAATACCGGTGGAGTAATTTATGATTGTTTACCAAAAAAAACCTCACCGAGTCTCAATACGTTTTTGCAGGAGGATGCTGCCAGGTGTTCGCAGTATGGTGCAAAGTTGATGTCATCCCAATTGATTACTTTTGAGGTTTGGCCAATACCAGGTTACATTGTAGTGGTTTAACTTTTTAGCTATGGGAGGACACCAGAGGACCTTTAGGAAGCTCATGCAGAACAGAGGGAGAGAACATAAAACCTCCACCCAGAAAGGTGCCCGAGTCGGGAATCAAACCCAGCCCCTTATTGCTATTGAGGCACAAGTGTTAGAATGGCAAATATGTAAGTAAATGTATCCCAAAAACGAGTATTTAATGTTCACATTCTGCATGGTGTAGAGCAGGGTTCTAGAACTTTGGCTACTGCAGCCCTTGCTGAATATTGTTTCAACCAAGTAACTCCCTTTACCTGACCCAACGTAACTCTGGGAAATAAATTCACATTCATATTTTAACTAATTGTCTATTTTGAGGTATCCTAACTAGCTCATAACTGCAAGAAAATAAAACAAAATTCAACAGACGCTCTGCATGCATCGCGTAATTTATTCACGCTCGCTCGTTACTCTGGTAAACCAAATTGTTACGAACAAAGTTTGGAAAGTTATTTTGTATCTTTCTAGATTACCATGTGAATTTAAATTGTATTTGAGCAGAGTCATACATGATTATTCACCGATGACTCATGTGACAATATAATTTCACACATTTATAAATCACCTCACATATCCCCCCCTGGGACATTGCCAAGTCCCCCATTAGGGGTCTGTGTACCACCGGTTGAGAACTACTGTTGCAGGGGATATGATCGTACTTGTATAAAAAGTGCCATTTCATATATTGTATATAATGTATATTCTTTAAAATAATGGTCTCCTAAGGATTGAAATAATTGCATAGGTATATTTTATGAACACAATCATGCAAGACCATGCAAGAAATTTTAAATTATGTCTTAGGTGTTTAAAATAAAGAAGTCGAGAGTGAGCTGGTAGAGGTCATGGATTGGAGGCTAGGGGTTATAGAAACATCCACTGATCTGGAATGGCAGAAATTGTGCCACTGCTGAAGGTCCCAGAGCTCAGATATGGAAGCCTTAAAGTTTCCATTTCACAGAAGTGGTGTTTCCATTGAGTGAAACTAGAAGACACAGTTTTGCATAGCAACTAGTCATATTACCATTCACTCCCCACATAATTCAATGAATTTTCAAATTCAGGATCACAATTCGATTTAAAAATCAATTATATTTTGTGTCACTTGTACGTTCTCGTTTGTTGTTGAATTTCCCCTGCTTTGTTCGGTGCATTAGCCTAAAGGTAACATTTGTATGGATGTATGTTGCACAACTTTTGCACCATAATAGCCAAACGTGCTAATCGGAGGTGCAGGGGGAAGGAAAACACACTGAACACAAAAATCAGTTCTGAAGAATTCAGTTTTAAATCTAGATTTAAAAGCACATAGCTCAGTGGCTTTCAAATATAAGTTGAGTAAACACCACATTTATCCAGTTCTGTTTTTACGTACAATGTCATCTTCCCGGTTGTAGTTTGCAATGTCACGTCGTAGAGTTCTGATGATTATCATGCTGAGGATGCCTGTAAAATAAAAAGGCTGCTTTGTGAATCAACAGAATATTTGTACAAATCTCTAAATCTTTTTTTATATATATAAAACTGCATAAAGCAACGAGGTAACCTGGATGCAACACAAAACATATCATCTTGTACCTTTGTGGATCACAACCTATTTCTTCTCTTTTTCAAAAATAAAGGCATTATGACAAAAGTGTAAATGTTTATGACCTTGACCTTTCCTCTGACACTCACACTTATGTCTGCATTGCTTGCAAACATTTCTTCTATGGGAAAGTGAAGCCTTCACGTAGCAGAGATGTTTAACCGACCATGATACGGAATTAATTTCATAACCAGTCCCAGAAGGCTCACTCGGTCGGTGGGAGTCAATGTTAAATCATTTCCAATAATCCTGCTTTAAGAGGATTACATTATAATTGTGCAACACCACAACAAAGATGCTGGTGGTGTATGGCCATGTGCCACAAGAAGCGTGGCCGCATGGGGTGGGGCCAAGCGGCCAGTTGGCTCGGGCTGCTTGGTTGTTGAGTTATGAATTCAGAAATATGCAAATTCCCTTGGTAATACATTGAATAACATATTTAATTACCTCAAAAGTTGAACATCGGCTTAGAAGAACGAATCAAAGCATTACACACATCGTTACGATTCGAGTGCAATTATTTGTAATGTGTACAGCTCACGTAAAAAAATTAGCACGAGCACAAAAGTGGCAGCAAACAAAGCGAGAGACAAGCAACCCCATGTTTTGGTTTTGACGAACCAGAGAGGAAGAAGACGACGACCACAGAGTTGACAATGGAGAACCAGTGGATTTGCACATCGCTCATGGTCAGATAAGTGTCCCATCGGGATGCCCATTTCACTGTACTCTCCTGCAAAACAGTTAACTCAACAAATGCAACTTGCACCTGTTTATAAATCTGAGATGAATAAATGCAGATTGTTATTTTTTCACATAGAAAGTTAAGCCCCATAGAATTTCTAGGCAGGTGCTTTGAGATAAGGGAGGTTTGCCTTATCCGAATATGACATTTATGTAAGCCAATTCAGAAGCTTGTTCTGAGATTACAATTTTTAAATACTATTTAATTGTGTGCTGGTTAACAATTATATTGATCAAATGCAACTTACACTGTATTATAATACCGAGATGAATAAATGCAGATTGTTATTTTTTTACGTAGAAAGTTATGCCCCATAGAATTTCTGGGCAGGTGCTTTGAGATAAGGGAGGTTTGCCTTATCCGAATATAACATTTATGGAAGCCAATTCAGAAGCTTGTTCTGAGATTACAATTTTTAAATACTATTTAATTGTGTGCTGGTTACCAATTTTATTGATCACAAATTACAGTTTACATTGAGAAAGTGGCAGTTTTGGCAACATCTCAACACTAAAAATCAGTGTACCAAAGGTTATAACATGCTGAAATGTAAGTCTTAGCCATCTATATAGCACGGCTGATTTTAAGGGAGTCCCCATCATCACAGGTGACATAAAATTTAGATACTCCTGTATTAACTACATAAATTATCGATGAATAAAAAACGAAAATCGATCATTGATGAACAACGCTAGTTTATTCATTACAATGTATGCGAAAACCTGAGTTTACAGAAGATATAAGTTTGAGAAAGGGCAACTTTGAATGTTAATGAAAATAAAGACGCCATGGTCCAAGCGTGCGTTAACAAACCTTCCACTTGACCGAGTAAGAGAAGAGGACATTGTTTTCCTTGCTGGGATCAATCTCTTGAGCTTCTACACCTGATATTGCTGGACTCTGGCAATCTCCTTTGTCATCTGCATTCAGGGCTGCAAGATGACAGTGGGTTCTTTTTTTCACTCCAGAAATTGCATCCCAAGCATACTAATGCCATTGTGTGGTCCCACCATATATAAAGCAATATTATCATGCACAAGAAAATGTCAATCAATATGGAAAAATACTTTACCTATTTTCAAACAGGATTTATTTTTTACATAAACATAACCCTATTACAAGAAATACATTATATTTCTAAACATATCCTCAGATAGTTGGGGTTTCTGTTGTTAACATCGTGGATCTTTGTCAATTTACAGATAAATGGATGATAAACAAGAAGTAGCTTCATTCTTCAGAATCGTAGAATCTATATTTATTATTCCTGGAGAAATCCGATGACCAATGAAGCCCTTCTTCACAGATGTCCTGTAGGGGTGTCTCAACAGTTCAGAGGCATCATGTCCATCAGAGCATTGAACTCACACCAAGAATGAGAACCATATTACTGAATGGATTTGGTTGATCATTTTAATCTGGCCACCAACAACTTGCACGAAGACTAGCATAATACATTTGCCCAACTCGGCATATTCTAGATCAGGTCTTGGGAAAAAAAAAAAGTTTAGATAAATTCTGTAAAGTATGAAGGGTTGCCATGTGTTGTTGGATTGGCAAGACATATAGAAGTGACGTCAGAATTTTTACCATTCTCTGGAGGCTGTTTTATGACATGAACACAATGGGTTGCTCTTTGAAAAGTTCAGAAATAAAGGTTTCTAATCCACAATGCTGTGAACGTGCAGATCAAAATAATGTGAGCAATTCATTATCAATCCCGCAAGCACCTTACGTACCTTCAAATTTGATGCTTTGTGGGATGACTTCAAATCGCACCACTTTGTACTTGGCATCCTCAGTCTCTTTGTGGTAGCTCAGAATCAGGTTCAGGTGATTGTGAAGGTACACCTTTGACAGAATCAAAAATGATCGTTGAAATAAAGAATATATAACGTTTTCTCCACCGATACCATCATGTAAGTAACACGCAAAGATAGTTGGGGAATGCACAGAAATTTGAAATAAAAAAATGGTCGTAAAGTAAGAAAATGTCTACGTTAAAATTGTGCATATGTTTTATTACATTGATTATACTTATACACAAGCATCAAGTTGTAATTGATGCCAGTCAATAGTTTTCTGTACCAACATTTTATGGATTAGGAATTAAAATTATGCTTGGGGTTTGAACATTAATTCAACACTTTAATACAGGTTCATTGCCTCCACATCTATTTGCACACGGTCACTATTTTACATTGCACTACTACAGTCTGTATGAACGTATTGGCAGTTACACTGGTGCACTGAATATAAAAAGCAATTTTTTTGTAATTATTTAATTTCCCGCGATTTTCAACACCGGTCAGAAAATCTTGCGGGGTGCGTCAAAATCATTTCTCGTGATGTTGATGCAGTCGAAAGACGAATGTTATGAGCAGCTGAACATGAAGCTTCACAGTCTGTTGCCGTAAAGCACCAAGCCTGATGACAATTAGTTCCGTGTTTTGACTCGTGCCCGAGACTTGGTCGGACGGTTCCTCGGTTAATTTCTAGAATAATTTCTTGGCGGACGGTGGCATCAAAATATTATGACTCATGCCACACATTCGAATGGGAAAGCAGCTGCTGAAGCCAAGGCAACTTCTGATGGAGAGTCTGCAACTTACTTAAGGGCAACACCGATATCATCAGGCCGGGCCTCATCTTTACCTGATGGGTCTAGAGCAGCATCGTGTGCCCAACACTCAAATCAACGGTCAATAATGACCTTTTTATGGTCTCAGTAGAGTGAATAAATCGACAACAGGGTCTATTAAAGACTGATAAACATATGTTCTGATAAAATGTTTGATTTCAGTGTTTCGACGTTTCGATCATCCTGATAACGACCGCTTGTGTTGTGATCGAAACGTCGTAGTTTTTTGTTATTTTCTTTGAACCTATCTACGTGACTTTACCTGAAAGACCCAAAGAATAAGTCGTACCTTCTGTCTGTCCATGAAGCCAAGTCTGTATCCATGCTCAAACTGTTCTGGCTTTTCAGCATCACCACTTTTTTCAGCAAAAGAAAGGATTGTTGCAACAGGCAGGTTGTCCGCAATTCTGTGCATAAAAATGTAAGTTCACGTTATGTAAATAATTCAATTCTGTGCATGGGATTTATAAGAATAATACTGCAAATCTTTGGCTGTCCACATTTGAGTGAATACCTCGACAAATATTACTTAGTTGAAGAATAAAGGACAGAATTGTCCCGATCCAGCATGAAAGGAAGCACAACGTGTAATCTCCATGTTCAGGAACCAAGAGTAAACAGAAAGTAAACCACTTTGGGTAATTACAAAAAGAGATACATGTTCAACTAAATGTGACATTTCACTAAATTCCCACTTTACATTGTGATTAGCTCACAAAAAACAGTTGAATACAGCACGGTATAATTAGTGCACGGGTACCTCATGTTACACGTTAATTATAAAAATAACCAAGATACACATCGACAAGGTTTAACTTACAAGTGTACATAGTATTCTTCTTTGATGCGTTCGGCAATGAGCTTGCTCTGCTCCACAGTTAATTTAACCGGAACATTTGGCATATCACACAAGACCTTGCAATCCTTCTTTTCAGTCATGCGCACTTCATAAGGTGTGTTAACAATCCGGTCTCCACGAAGCACCTCACCTACCAGAAAAACAGACAAAGTGCTTGTTAATTTGGTTACTTATTATTCAAGATTCGCAAAGACAGTGTGAGCTCCACAGTGTTTGATAGCTCTTGCCTAAAACACTAGGCTACCGATCAGTGTTTAACAGACCACAAGATTTCGATTTAAAGCTTTCGTGACTGCAGGGATTCATATTCTTGGTCCTTTCGGTAAAGTCACGTAGAAGGGAAACAATAAAATAATGATTGCTTGTGTTACAGTCGAAACGGCATGAGAATTTTGTTTTCTATTTTTATTATTTGATTGTTTCCCTTCTACGTGACTTTACCGAAAGAACCAAGAATATATAGGCCACAAGATGTTGACAAGACTCAAATCTGTATCTAAAACTATCATGAGTTTGCCATTCGTCATGCATGCTGGAAAATATTTCTCTGGGAGGTCATAAGGTACATGAACAGTTTCCAAATTGATTTATCACACACATGGTTGAACATTTAATGAGGCAAAAAGTAAAACTGCAATACACTTGTAAAGAACCCTTTCAAGTATATTTTGAAACACTTCGTCAATATTTAATTTGACCATTAAACTATTCTTTTTATTTTACCAGGTAAGGTCGACTGAGCTATATTACTCTTATTCAGAAGTGATCTGGCCACAAATTATAGTTCAAATAAGTGGCTTATCATGTGGAAACTTATAACAGCCAAATACTCAAAGTGCATGTTTCTAAATGTGGAGGGAAAAACCAGAGGACCCAGGCAAAAATGTACTCCACCACGGGGAGAACATGCAAACTCCAAATATATAGGCTTCAGGGTCGAGATTGAACCCACGAGTTCCTGCATAATCAGGAAAGGCAGATAACATCTCGACATTGGTCGCCCCATAACCTTGGTACGCAGCTGAATCCTCCGAACTTATTTGCATATATTAAAACATATTTTACAAAAATATAAGCAAGAAATGGAACGTTTTTTTATGTCGGCAAGGAGAGAAAGAACACACAAACTCTTCTTTAGACAAGTACGAAATCGTCATATGCACATAACATCCAGTAAATTCTCAACATTGTATATCAGACCAATGAACAGGATTACACATTTAGTCTGTCATTGAGTATGCGGCTTTATAATAAGTAAACTTCAATAATAAAAAAGGAAAATCATTTGATAAAACTGTATAACTTACCCAAGTTTTCAGTTTTATACAATATTTTCTGTGGCTTGCAGAAAGGAAGTGAATAGTATTCATAGGGCAACTGGGTGTGAGAACTTGTCATTTTTACAGCCTGTGAAGACAATAATTAACAAACTTGGTCAAGTACAGACGCCGCATGTTTACCATCAAAACATCCTGCAATTATCAAATTTGAAAGCACAATTTAGTTCATGAAAATACATTGTACTGTATTGACGCTGCCAGAGGAAAGTGTAATATCTGCCTTTGATTCAGGAATTAAAACGTAGATAAGTACTGATAGTACGAAATAACAAATTACATTTTATTGTCTGTCAAATTATACTCAACACTATCTGGCCAGGTGGACTAGTAGTGCTTTGAGTGCTTGAGACTCAGCTTATCAGTACCCCCTAGAGTTGATAACATAAATACCAATTTGAAAGCAAATTAACAGTGATTGTTCTATGGAGAGACCGGCACCCATCATGGTATTGTGGATTTTTTTTTATCACTGGCTCAGAACCAGCAATAGAGATGAGTGAGGCCCCATTGCTTGTTCGAGTGGGACACTGCGTTTTGGCTTTGATTTAAATTCATTACAACAAGTAACACTACCTTCCTATGGATCTAATTTCAAGGCTATATATATCCTTGAACATGGCAGCGTAACAACAGAATGTTTCAACGTTGAAAGTAGGACCACCGTACAAGAGAATGTACATAATTTCCAAAACAGAAGTTGACCAATAGTTGGACACATTTACGAAGAATTGGAAGTGGGTATTGATAAGACATGAAAACATCATTGTACATAAAGGTTTAATGTAACAAATATTTCATGAACGACAGGACGCTAACTGCCGTGAAATGCCAGCTCAAACTTCCTGTGTTGACTTTAGTATCCTGTAGCTTTTAACAATGAATAGTGCCACGTGTACGTCTGTTTAATCAAATATATATTTACCTTTATTTCCACATACTGGTTCTTGGCATAATCCATTGGTGCGACTCCAGGTACATAGAAGGTGCTTGCTCCATTTATTAAGAGAGCTATCACAAGCTGCCACAAACACATTTTCTGAAAGCCAATACACAACAGTTCGAGTTAAGCACAAGCAAAATTACATTGCAGTCGAGAACCACACAATATTTAACAAAATCATTAATTTAGATTTTTTTTACTTCAATAGGATTTCCTAAATATGACTTAATGGCCTGTAAAGAGTTAATAAACATGTCAATTCGTGCAGTTATCTGGAGACAGTGGTCTGCACAAGGCCGAGAACGTGTGTACACATAGTATACATCTTGGTGCGTTGTTTAATCCATTTATTTTTCGGCCTAATATTTCTGTTGTGATGGGGTGTTCTCGCCATTGACACATTAAAATCACCCCAAAGAATGACAGTACATGACTTAGTAACTTCGCGACGCAGCTGCTGCAAATACATCAACTGAGAAACTCTCTCGCCCTGCTGCTCCCAGTAACCGCGTGCGTTCCTTGCTCCCCTTCGCTGCCACACTCACTGCCACATAAAGCAATCATCCTCGCTAACATGCTTTCCGTTCCTCCATTTAAAAACAAATCTCATCTCCCTTACCCATCCTGTGACTGCTACTCCTTGCCCAAGCCCTGCATCTACAACTTGGCCGACCGCAACCCCTCCCTTAACCACTCCCGTCCGTCCTCCTGACACCATAAACTATTTTTTTTATGTTTTACCAGGTAAGGCCCACTGAACTATATAGCTCTGTTTCAGAAGCGACCTGGTCGCAAATGATAGCTCAACGAAGTGCTTTATTACGTGGAAATGTATAGCAACCAAATACTCGAAACGCACGATGTTGATTCTAAATGCGGAGGGGAAAACTGGAGGACCCGAAGACAAACCCGCACGACCACGGGGTGAGAGAAAAACGCAGACTCCAAATATACAGCAGGAGTCGGAATCTAAACCACGACCTTCATAGCTAACACGACTTGTAATAACTTCACTCTTGAGCTCACACACATCGCATGCACACTTCTCACATTGTTATAAAGCGCACTGTAATAAGGTGCGATATACGCCTACGTACGTTAAGATAGTTCGTGTTAGTTTATACCATTAATAATTCATACAACTCAACCACAGGCACGGCATCGCGTACGCGATCCATCGTAGCGCGACATCACACGCAGCGGAATGGGCTCTTGGGATAAATTTAAGAGAACACAAAAGCAACGTTTGCCGATCACCCATAGTCGGTGACAGGGATGGAGAGAGAACATAATCGTGTCACCAACCGCACATGCTGCACTCATCTCGGGGTTTACACTGTGTCACGTATGACACGTGGCAAGGAGGGGCCCGGGACATCCCATGTTCGGGTTACACAGAACACGGATTTTTTTTATTTAAAGCTTTCGTGACTACAGGGATTCATATTCTTGGTTTTTTCGGTAAAGTCACCATCAGGTGTGAAATCCACAGCAAGAACATTTTCTTCGCACCTTATTCCAGTGATTGCTTGTGTTGCAGTCGAAACGTCGTGCAAATTTGTATTGTTTTATGTTTTATTATTTTATTATTTCCCTTCTACGTGACTTTACCGAAAGAACCAAGAACAAGAACACGGATTATTCAGACAACGCACTTCTAGCTTACCTGCCAATAACATCATCCTAAACCCACCGCCCGCGTCTAAATACCGTACCGGACAACAGCTTTTCTGTCCATTTTGCACAACCATTTCTGTGCGTGAGAGGACTACATCTTGTGAACGGCGTACGTGTTTGAGCAGAGTAATCATTACGACAATACGCGGCCCCTAGTCAACCACTCCACAGTGATGAAAGCCTCCGCACGTCGTGAGGGCCGTAGGGGAAGCTGCCAGACCAGACTGACACCGTGGGGGGGGGGGGGGGGGGTGCGTGCCAGGTGTGTCGTGGAGGTTGGGAAGAGCCACAACTCCAGTGGCCTGGAATCGCAATGAAGCTGCCATCGCATTGCGCCACTCAACCTAAATCAGTCACAACCCCCCCCACCCCCTCCTTGGAGACGCACTTAGAACACGAACGCGACCCCACACTCGGTGAACGTTGGCCAATGTCGGGGTGGGTGGCGGCTTGTCCCTGGACGATGGGACATTGTACGAGGCGGCGCTTTAGGACGGGGCTGGCAAGCAGAGGGGGTCTCGTTCGAGAAAGTGGGAAGTGGGACACGGAAGTGCCGATGGGGACATTTAACTGCGAGCGACGTGACCGTGAACGGGGGACGCCAGAGGAGCGTCGTCCTATACCAACAAAGACAAAGACACCCCCCACCCCGTGTAGCCTCTAACAGGCTGTAGGGGCAAGTGCTGTTAGCGAGCAGCAGCACCGATGAAGGCTACCGGCACTGTGGCACACGAGGGGGTGGGTGGCCAGCACCACGCCCGGCCGCCTTTGTCTCCCCTAGTGGCGATGTTTACACACCGCGCCAGGTACTCATTTGAGGCCGAGTCGAACTAGTGGAGGCGCGGGACCGGTTCAGACAATCGTCACCGGCGCTGTTGGCCGTGAGCGGTAATCGAACCCCCCCCGGGTCGCCCGGTTCGTAGCGCAGTGCGCTAACCGCTGCGCCACCGCTCACCACCACCACCACCACCACGCGCGCCTGCCTATTACTCACAATCGTATCCTGCATCGCGCCGACAGGAACGCGCCTCACTCAACGTCTCGGCGCCAAACCAACCCCGGGGTGTGCCGCTAACGCGACCGCCGCCGCCGCTGCTGCTCGTGAGCGACTGCCGCTGCTCGAGGCCTCGGCACGAAACTTCCACTCCACGGAGGCGACGGCAGGCGAACAAGCGCGCCGCTCATTGGCCCAGCGCCGACCACGTGCCGCAGCGCGCCGACCACGTGCCGCAGCCAGCCAATCGGGGCGGCGGCTCTCGGAGGCGGCGATCGAAGTGTGGCCTCGCGCCATTGGGTGCCGCGCCGCCGCGTCCGCACGGAGCGCTGAGGCGGCGAGACGGGCGGGCGGGCGGGTAGGCAGGGAGAGGCGACGGGGAGACGCCGAGGAAAGGCGGACAGGGGAGTCGGGCGGCAGAGCCGGGAAGGAGCGCGGGGAGACGCGGCCGCGCCGTGAAAGCGAGAAGCGACGCGAGGAGGGAGAAGTTGGCTCACCTGGGCGGGCGCCATGTCGCGCGACGTGTGCCGCGTGACGTCACTGGCAGCTGGCAACGCCCCCCGCTGACCCCCCCCCCTCTCTCACCCGCCCACCTGACCCCCCCGACACCCGCCCCCCTCACCCGCCCCCTCACCCGCCCCCCTGACCCCCCCCTCAACACCCGCCCCCCTGACCCCCCCGACACCCGCCCCCCTCACCCGCCCCCTCACCCGCCCCCCTGACCCCCCCCTCAACACCCGCCCCCCTGACCCCCCCGACACCCGCCCCCCCCGACACCCGCCCCCCTCACCCGCCCCCTCACCCGCCCCCCTGACCCCCCCGACACCCGCCCACCTCACCCCCCCGACTCCCCCCCAACACCCGCCCCCCTGACCCCCCCAACACCCGCCCCCCTGACCCCCCCAACACCCGCCCCCCCCGACACCCGCCCCCCCCGACACCCGCCCCCCTCACCCCCCCCGACTCCCCCCCAACACCCGCCCCCCTGACCCCCCCAACACCCGCCCCCCCCGACACCCGCCCCCCTCGACACCCGCCCCCCTCGACACCCGCCCTCCTGACCCCCCCCAACACCCGCCCCCCTCACCTCCCCCGACCCCCCCCAACACCCGCCCCCTGACCCCCCCCCCCGACACTTGATTCCCTGAATAAGTTTCGATTTAAAGCTTTCGTGACTGCAGGGATTCATATTCTTGGTTCTTTCGGTAAAGACACGTAGAAGGGAAATAATAAATAATGAAGTTGTAGTTTTATTATTTCCCTTCTACGTGTCTTTACAGAAAGAACCAAGAATATGAATCCTTGAATAAGGTTGCTATTTGGTGTTTTAAACATCTTAACAGCTACACTATGGGGACCTCATTTGCCAGTAAAAATATGATAATTGGTTCTTTACCCTTCTATCTGGCAACAAAACTGACACCTTTTTGCAAGGAGTCATGTTTGCATAGACCGCAATACCTGCAGTCATAAATACAAACAAAAGACATAACTCTGATAATGTGCACTGTCCTTGAAGTTGATTGGTCCACACCCGAGACAGCTTTCCTTCGAGCCTAGTCTCATATGGGTTGGACCAGATGACACCAAAAGGCGCACAACTCAAGGACAATGCACCATCAGAGTATGAGAGCTCGGGGCAAGCATCTACACTATGGGGACCTCATTTGCCAGTAAAAATATGATAATTGGTTCTTTACCCTTCTATCTGGCAACAAAACTGACACCTTTTTGCAAGGAGTCATGTTTGCATAGACCGCAATACCTGCAGTCATAAATACAAACAAAAGACATAACTCTGATAATGTGCACTGTCCTTGAAGTTGATTGGTCCACACCCGAGACAGCTTTCCTTCGAGCCTAGTCTCATATGGGTTGGACCAGATGACGCCAAAAGGCGCACAACTCAAGGACAATGCACCATCAGAGTATGAGAGCTCGGGGCAAGCATCTACACTATGGGGACCTCATTTGCCAGTAAAAATATGATAATTGGTTCTTTACCCTTCTATCTGGCAACAAAACTGACACCTTTTTGCAAGGAGTCATGTTTGCATAGACCGCAATACCTGCAGTCATAAATACAAACAAAAGACATAACTCTGATAATGTGCACTGTCCTTGAAGTTGATTGGTCCACACCCGAGACAGCTTTCCTTCGAGCCTAGTCTCATATGGGTTGGACCAGATGACACCAAAAGGCGCACAACTCAAGGACAATGCACCATCAGAGTATGAGAGCTCGGGGCAAGCATCTACACTATGGGGACCTCATTTGCCAGTAAAAATATGATAATTGGTTCTTTACCCTTCTATCTGGCAACAAAACTGACACCTTTTTGCAAGGAGTCATGTTTGCATAGACCGCAATACCTGCAGTCATAAATACAAACAAAAGACATAACTCTGATAATGTGCACTGTCCTTGAAGTTGATTGGTCCACACCCGAGACAGCTTTCCTTCGAGCCTAGTCTCATATGGGTTGGACCAGATGACGCCAAAAGGCGCACAACTCAAGGACAATGCACCATCAGAGTATGAGAGCTCGGGGCAAGCATCTACACTATGGGGACCTCATTTGCCAGTAAAAATATGATAATTGGTTCTTTACCCTTCTATCTGGCAACAAAACTGACACCTTTTTGCAAGGAGTCATGTTTGCATAGACCGCAATACCTGCATCTGGTCCAACCCATATGAGACTAGGCTCGAAGGAAAGCTGTCTCGGGTGTGGACCAATCAACTTCAAGGACAGTGCACATTATCAGAGTTATGTCTTTTGTTTGTATTTATGACTGCAGGTATTGCGGTCTATGCAAACATGACTCCTTGCAAAAAGGTGTCAGTTTTGTTGCCAGATAGAAGGGTAAAGAACCAATTATCATATTTTTACTGGCAAATGAGGTCCCCATAGTGTAGATGCTTGCCCCGAGCTCTCATACTCTGATGGTGCATTGTCCTTGAGTTGTGCGCCTTTTGGCGTCATCTGGTCCAACCCATATGAGACTAGGCTCGAAGGAAAGCTGTCTTGGGTGTGGACCAATCAACTTCAAGGACAGTGCACATTATCAGAGTTATGTCTTTTGTTTGTATTTATGACTGCAGGTATTGCGGTCTATGCAAACATGACTCCTTGCAAAAAGGTGTCAGTTTTGTTGCCAGATAGAAGGGTAAAGGACCAATTATCATATTTTTACTGGCAAATGAGGTCCCCATAGTGTAGATGCTTGCCCCGAGCTCTCATACTCTGATGGTGCATTGTCCTTGAGTTGTGCGCCTTTTGGCGTCATCTGGTCCAACCCATATGAGACTAGGCTCGAAGGAAAGCTGTCTCGGGTGTGGACCAATCAACTTCAAGGACAGTGCACATTATCAGAGTTATGTCTTTTGTTTGTATTTATGACTGCAGGTATTGCGGTCTATGCAAACATGACTCCTTGCAAAAAGGTGTCAGTTTTGTTGCCAGATAGAAGGGTAAAGAACCAATTATCATATTTTTACTGGCAAATGAGGTCCCCATAGTGTAGATGCTTGCCCCGAGCTCTCATACTCTGATGGTGCATTGTCCTTGAGTTGTGCGCCTTTTGGCGTCATCTGGTCCAACCCATATGAGACTAGGCTCGAAGGAAAGCTGTCTCGGGTGTGGACCAATCAACTTCAAGGACAGTGCACATTATCAGAGTTATGTCTTTTGTTTGTATTTATGACTGCAGGTATTGCGGTCTATGCAAACATGACTCCTTGCAAAAAGGTGTCAGTTTTGTTGCCAGATAGAAGGGTAAAGAACCAATTATCATATTTTTACTGGCAAATGAGGTCCCCATAGTGTAGATGCTTGCCCCGAGCTCTCATACTCTGATGGTGCATTGTCCTTGAGTTGTGCGCCTTTTGGCGTCATCTGGTCCAACCCATATGAGACTAGGCTCGAAGGAAAGCTGTCTCGGGTGTGGACCAATCAACTTCAAGGACAGTGCACATTATCAGAGTTATGTCTTTTGTTTGTATTTATGACTGCAGGTATTGCGGTCTATGCAAACATGACTCCTTGCAAAAAGGTGTCAGTTTTGTTGCCAGATAGAAGGGTAAAGAACCAATTATCATATTTTTACTGGCAAATGAGGTCCCCATAGTGTAGATGCTTGCCCCGAGCTCTCATACTCTGATGGTGCATTGTCCTTGAGTTGTGCGCCTTTTGGCGTCATCTGGTCCAACCCATATGAGACTAGGCTCGAAGGAAAGCTGTCTCGGGTGTGGACCAATCAACTTCAAGGACAGTGCACATTATCAGAGTTATGTCTTTTGTTTGTATTTATGACTGCAGGTATTGCGGTCTATGCAAACATGACTCCTTGCAAAAAGGTGTCAGTTTTGTTGCCAGATAGAAGGGTAAAGAACCAATTATCATATTTTTACTGGCAAATGAGGTCCCCATAGTGTAGATGCTTGCCCCGAGCTCTCATACTCTGATGGTGCATTGTCCTTGAGTTGTGCGCCTTTTGGCGTCATCTGGTCCAACCCATATGAGACTAGGCTCGAAGGAAAGCTGTCTCGGGTGTGGACCAATCAACTTCAAGGACAGTGCACATTATCAGAGTTATGTCTTTTGTTTGTATTTATGACTGCAGGTATTGCGGTCTATGCAAACATGACTCCTTGCAAAAAGGTGTCAGTTTTGTTGCCAGATAGAAGGGTAAAGAACCAATTATCATATTTTTACTGGCAAATGAGGTCCCCATAGTGTAGATGCTTGCCCCGAGCTCTCATACTCTGATGGTGCATTGTCCTTGAGTTGTGCGCCTTTTGGCGTCATCTGGTCCAACCCATATGAGACTAGGCTCGAAGGAAAGCTGTCTCGGGTGTGGACCAATCAACTTCAAGGACAGTGCACATTATCAGAGTTATGTCTTTTGTTTGTATTTATGACTGCAGGTATTGCGGTCTATGCAAACATGACTCCTTGCAAAAAGGTGTCAGTTTTGTTGCCAGATAGAAGGGTAAAGAACCAATTATCATCTTAACAGCTGTTTTATTGCAAGAAAAGGTCAAACCTGTAATTTGTTCACACTTTGATACTGGCGAAAAGGTCCCATTCTGGAATGAAACTCCGGTAGTTAGAAACAATGCAGGAGACCGCATTGAGGCAAGATCAACTCTCTCTACATTGTGTTCGCAGCAGTCTACTCTGGCGCCTGGACAAAGATCGGAAATTGGTACCATCCAAGGTGGTGGATAAATTGAGTCTTGGGAGGGCGGCTGCTGCTTGTGTTGTGGCCGAAACGTCGTGAGAATTATATTGTTTTATTTCTATTCTATTATTTCCCTTCTACGTGACTTTACCGAAAGAGCCAAGAATATGAATCCCTGCATTCACGAAAGCTTTAAATCGAAATTCAATTTATATGGCTTTAACGTGGAGTAATGTGATTAATATATTAATTTGATTTATGATTTAATTAACTTTTGATGGACGTACAACAAATCACTGAACTTGTGTTATACCCTTGAGACAGTCTGGCATCATGGGGATGGACTGGCCCAGCTCCTCTCTTGTGTGGACCACTGAGTGGTCATACCCCGATCTAATTCATAATCACTCCCTGATTTGCATCGCCTCAACCCACACCGAAGTCGCTGACCGCGTCAGTCCTTTCTCGTATTTGTCGCCTCGACCTATCCTGCATAAAGAAATTGATTGGAGAGTATATTTCAGGGGCCGGGAACCTTTTTGACTGGGAGAGCCATAAAAGCCAAATATTTCTAAATATATTTCATTGAGAGCCATGTAGTATTTTTAACGTATAATAAATTAAATGTCTTACTTTTAATGCGACTTCTGGTCACGGGACCCGTGACCCGAGAGATTTTATCTTCAAAACGAATTTCTGTTTACTTTAAAATGACACAGTATTATTAAGCAATATCACAAGTATTTTAAAATCAGTTGCAAACCGATTTTATTTTTATTCTTTTATTATTTATTTTTTTCAACTCAAAATTGTCTGGGAGCCATATGCCGTCACCGGAAGAGCCATATATGGCTCGCGAGCCATAGGTTCCCCACCGCTGGTATATTTGAACACAGTATTTTTGGGATCTTTCAGTTTTCTGGATCTTATTGTTGTACCATGTGTAGCGGGTTCTAAACAGGCGCACACTGAGTCGTGGGAAGCAACACGATTATTTACTAACACCACTCGGACCAGCTAACGTAACATGTACATCTTCTTGGTTCTTTCGGTAAAGTCACGTAGAAGGGAAGTAATCAAATAATAAAAATAAAACATAAAATAATTCTCACGACGTTTCGGCCACATGTACATTTCGGGTTAACTATGTACACCTCGGGTTAACTACATAGGGTGGTGGCCACCGCTCCTAACCACCTAAGGGGCCGTCCATAAATGACGTCACGCGATTTTGGACGATTTTTGATCCCCCCCCGTCAGTCAGACCCCCCTCAAATATGACGTCACAAATCTTTGCCCCCCCCCCAAAAAAAATATATGCTTCAAATCGCTTTAAACTATTGTCATTGTAGTGCATATTTAATGTGGCGCTGCACACTGATGGTTTAGAAAACATTTATTAAAAAGTATATTTAATTAAGTAGAACGTGTTGTCTATATTTATCTAAAGTTGCGCATTAGGATCATTATATGATGGGACCAGGACAGCTAACACGCTGCCTGATCCTCGTGCGCGAAGACCAAATATCTAAGGTAGCGGTTTCTTTCCCGGGTCGAACAGCCCAGCTCCCCCCTTTCTAGATCCTTCGTGGAGGCTCTCGGTCCCTAGCACGTGGCCCTCTCACCCACTACTGGGGGTCCCCGTGCCCCCTCGTCCGGTCACGCGCTCTCACGGGTTCACGCAGGCGGTCATGTCCAGACCCAACCTCGGTGACACCCAGACTCTGCCCTCTCGGGAGCCCCTTAATGCAGTACACACACTGGTGCCATAAAACAGCACCCCGTGTACAGTACCACTCTGTACTGTCGCTACACGTGTTAAAGTTGACCGATGTACACGAGTGTTGACAGTATTAGTTAATTTTAAAATAAATTATGTAAGGTGGGTATGTCTAGGATAAATATGCGTGCTTCAACACAGCTTCACCATACCCTCCCCGTTGCAGGTCATGGCGTGCAGACATTTGCTTTAAAATGTCGCAACGTTCAGGAACGCATCCTCGATGCAAGTCGGGGTTATTACGAAAAACCACCCCAGAACCTCGGAGCGCCGCTCCACGTGGAGACATCCATGCAGCGGTGCATCTTCCTGTTAAGTCTAAGACTGGTGTGACGTCCAATGCAGTTGACAGCTGCAAGCACAAGGCTCAAAAACCATTGCCTTCCAACTAGACATGTAATTCACAAGCTCAGAAAATTAAGCCTTGGCACTTGCCATATACTCCCACACACATCTATGCTTGTTCTTCTTGGTTCTTTTGGTAAAGTCACGTAGAAGGGAAGTAATAAAAAAATAAAACATAATAAAATAATTTTATTGTTTTATTTAATAATAATTTTATTTTTATTTTATTACTTCCCTTCTATGCGACTTTACCGAAAGAACCAAGAAGATGAATCCTTGCAGTCACGAAAGCTTTAAATTGAAATTTTACATCTATGCATGGTTACATCGACTTTTCATGTGGGGGTATAAGTGAATCGTGCTTCTGGCTATATCCAATGTCATTTCACGAGGGTATGTGTAATTGAAAGGTTTTACATATACATGCTCCACTTCTTTCGACTGTCATGCAGACTATAACGTCACTCCACCCCATCATTGATAAGATTTGTCATTCGCTGGATATGCATCTTCAGTTGTTGAGATGCCTAATCTCAGGATCCTACCACCATGCACAGGAAAAGACCTTATTCATATGCATACAACCATTACTGCCACACTGCATAGTCCAACATGGTCTTCACTCGAAGGAAACTAGTATGAGCAACGCTAATGATATTAAAAGTTTATTCCACAAAAGCCACAACCTGCCTTCAGGTGTATGTACCGTTTATTGGAATTACTGCAAGTGTAGTTTACATTTTCACAATAAAGTTTTGCGTGGGCCTACAAATGCTCAAGTTTGCTCCCAATGACAAAAAACACAAAACTAAGAAAAATCCACTTTCAACATTTATTGAAGTGTTGAGCAGCTGACATTAGGAAACTCGGACATCTTGCTGCAATGTTTTGGAACAATGGTGTTAACCTAAAGTGGTGGGGGGGAAAAAATAAGATTATTTTCAAATCAGAAAATTTTAAATGCAACCTGTCGTTAAATACTAAACATGACCTAGTGAAACATTGTTTATATTACATATTCAATTAAAATGTTGTGCAATAGTATTATAATTTGAATAGATACTTAACATCAGTACATTATAACAATTATGTACACACTGCATGTTTATTAATTTCCAGTACATTAAAACATTGTTGCAGAGTATGGTATTTTGGCAAACTCACCCTTCTACAGCTGCATCTCGGGGAACTCGAAGTTGACATCTTTGCCCGTGAGTTTCTTGTACACAGCAGAGAACGTTTCAACCTGTACAAGCAAATCTATTAGATGATCCCGAAATGTACATCAATGTACAGCTATGCTTAAAGCGTTCACTCAGCACATGCACTCACTATAACTACAGTTTAAGAAGTATCTTATTAAATTTGAAGATCCAAATGAAAGATTTCTATTTCGGGGCATCCTGTTACAAGTTTATAATTGGTTAAGTTCAGTCCATTAAACTTACAAAAAAATCACTTGGTTAACACCTCACCTTGTGTTCCACATTGTTTTGCTGAGATTTGTCCAGATGGACCTTAATAAGTCGGCTGGCATCCATCTTCACGCGAATTCGCTTTCCCACAATCTCACTTGGGAACACCAGGTCCTCCAGAATGGCATCATGCACGGCAGTCAGTGTGCGGCTGAAAAACAGGAAAATAACAAGTGTTTCATGACTGGCTTCTCAACTGGGAGAAAGAATGAACAGGAATGACAATACGCAGGAAGGCATCACAGTGGAGAATCTCAGGTAAGAGGCATGTTGCCGCTGAATGTAGAGATCAAGGGAATAAAATAATGCAGGTGGGCAGTGGAGGTTCAGATGTAATATAAATGTAAGTATGACAAGGTTTTAAAATAAACCTGTGTAAATTTTAGCTAATATACAGGTGAACTGAGAGATAAATTCCTGATCTGTCATTTCTCACAGTCAGATTGGTCAAGGAGTTTAAGAACAGCATGCTGCAATCAAGGCAAGGGCAGTCTATGGAGAGCAGTTTCAAATCCAGGGAACCCAGTCGTGGGGGAAGGAAAACTCGGCGAGATGATTGTAGGTGCATTATCAGTGATTTGTTAATGGGTGAGAGTTAGGAACAAGGTACTGAAAAGACGATTTAAATATTTTGGGACAGGTAAAGAGTATTTTTTATGACCTGCATAGATTTAAAATAGTATTGACTTCCAAGCTCTGGAAATTATACCCTAACAATAGCATCAGCAAGATAAAACCTTCAAGAAATAAAAATAAGAATAATTTACATTTTATAAAGGTAGGTCCCAATGAACCATGTATGGAAAGCAGGGAATAAATAGAACCATGGTAAATGGCAGAACTAGAGGGTAAGGGCCAGTTTTAAAAGGTGAGTTTCCAAGACTTAAAATATAGCAAACGATTCTGACTGTCTTATTAGCAGAGGCAAAGCATTCCAAAGCCTGGCAGCTGCACTGGAAAATGCCCGATCACCCCAGGAAATCAGCCTTCACCTCAAGAGTACTTAGAAGGCGACCCAAAGATCCCAGTGACTCGCTAGTGTATAAAGATGATCACAGATCCTGTAAATATTGCGGGGCTTGTAGGTTAGCAGCAGGATCAGCAAGTGGGAGAAGCAGGTAAAAGAGAAGACATTAAAATGGTAGGGTTTCAATCTGATTATAGCACCGTCGATACAATCTCAACCATTTCATATTTTTGACTGTAAAAATGTTGATACAAGCAACCAATTAATCTTATAATTTAATCATAGAAAATGTAATCCTACCATGTGAAAAAAGGCAATAGCCTGCATTCATATATGCTGAAAAAATTATATCTTGATCGCAAATTGACGTGAATTGTTGGCAATTGAAATAGAACATTAAGATTCGTTAAGTAGGGTGACCAGTGGAATTAAGATCCACTTGCCACTTTCTCCAAAGCAGTCCTTTCTTGGCCATCATTTGTGATTTTCACTTCATGCCAGAGGGGGTTTAGGACATTACTCAAATCGAAATTTTCAAAAGGAAGCAGCTGAGCAATTAGCAATAAGCAGAAAGAAACACCAACTAGATGAATCAGGCTTTCCCAAGAGGTATAATCATATCTTCAGGCAATTTAAATGCATTTCTGAGTTTTGTTATTGTGTAACCATACATTATCTGCTAAGGTTAATCGTTATTGCTATACCACCCTCATGTCTTGTGCATAGTACCAGCTATAATGTGTACCGACTACTGGTATACGGCAGCCGTTGAAAAAGGGAGTAATTTTTTGTGGCCAAAGTTTCCTTTAGGTAGTGTTAATACTAGTCAGTTGATACAATCTGTTGAGCCATACGTAGCCAACCATGCTAATCGAAGGTGAGATCGTGCAAATAAAACGAATACAAGAAATTACACAAACGTAATGCAGGCAGTGTCGTAAGATGTGCAGTGAAAAGTGGTCACTTAAGCAGTAGGAAAAGAAATAAATGAAAACAGTGTGCAGGTTGAGTTGCCTTAGGAGTTACATCAGAGCAAAAACAAATCTCATTGGAGTCTCAATAATTAACAGGTTCTCACCTGGTTAAAAATGCAATGACTGGTCTCAGCACGATATTAAGTTTCACCTAATATGTATAGTGATGTATAAAAAAGCTGGGTTGTCTAGCCAATGAACAGAATACCCTTAGCTGGGATGACCTTATAACCAGTACAAACAAGTGGGTTATACATGTAATAGTTTTAAAACATAACTTTTAAACATGGTTTTACATGGTCAGTTCAGTCAAATCCATTTCATTAAAAGTGGTTTATTTTTTCATGTGAACATTTGGCTTGCGTAATTTAAGGATCAGGAAATTCATTACCTCCTGGGACGCTTCTGCTTGTTCTTTGTGCGGCTTTTGCGTGTTGGCTTTGGCAGAATCCTCCTCTGTGAAAAGCAAGAAAATTAAGTTGAGCCACTCACTGCATCAAAACATTGTACTCACTCAAGAAATAAAACTACAAATTTTCTCGCAAGTTGCTCTCAAGCTGCAGTGTTGCCATCGCCCAACTTTATACTTGAATGTTTGTCACGTGGCAAGCAAATCAATGTTCTCTCAGTTTGATGAGTTTTTTCGTGAATTGGTGACTGGACAGAACCCAGGACCTCAGCAGTAACCCCTAAACCACCCAACGCCTATCCTTTATTTACATTTAACCAAGGAAACCCAACAAAATGGAGTTTGAGGACCAATAGCTGCACCCATAGACCGTGCGGGACATGATGGATGTGAAAAAAGGAGACAATTATTTAGATTATTAAAATGCCGTACGTCTACATTTTAAAGAAAAATATAATGTAGGCTAATGAACAGAGTAATCTCAAGATTAAGTATTTTACCTGTGCAATGAAGACAACGTGTTTGCCACTGAACTTCTTTTCCAGCTCTCGCACCAGACGGACCTGGATCTTCTGAAAAGCCTTCAGCTGGGGAACTGGGACGAAGATAAGGATGGCTTTCCTGCCACTTCCAACGTCAATTTCCTGTTGAAACACAAATTCACTGGGTTTTAAAATAGAGTTACCACGACAAAATGTATCTGTAAAACAAAAACACCATACAAGTTTTGAAATTTCAACAATTCAAGTTCAGACAGGGAATGTGAAATTTATGGATTTGCACAATCCTCACCAACGTCACTTTGGCAACAAAAGTCCAGGTCTCAACACCATTCCAAGACCAATTACACAATCACACTGATATTAGTGGCATGCCGTCATAATAAGCGCTCAATTTATTAAGCAATAAATTCTGAACATTCTGAATGTTTTAATTTGCCAAAATGTTTATTTGTTTACAGACTGCAGCAGCTTTTCCCTTGAGTCACAGCTGTATATTCATTTACAGCATAACATTCCCCTCCACAAAATAATAAGTGAGAAATTGCTACGAAAATACAACTGAATAAAACCTGTGGACAAAGTGGAGTCGCATACACAAAATCACTAAATCTATCTGTGCAGAGATTTGAGCGATGTCCCCGTGGTCTCCTCCAACATGCGACTCAATAGATTTTGATAAACCCTATCCAGAACCCTCCTGAAAAACAATCTTTAGATTAGGTGGTTTCCTGGTAACACGTGTATTGCATACATTTAGACATGTACATTCATTTTAACACGTAGGCTTTCGCGACCAATGTTATTCATAATCAACGATTTTTGGGTTTAGATCGCGTTTATTTATAAATGTGTCGTAACCCTCCACCACCCGATGATGCTGATTGCAATTACCAGCGAAACGTCGTACTCAAATTGTAAATGTTGTTGCTTCAACACACCGGTGGGCTAAAGCAGTGAACTATTTGTCTTTGTCAACGTGACACTTTTTTACTGATTGGCCGTGTCGGGTGGTGGAGGGTTACGACACATTTATAAATAAACGCGATCTAAACCCAAAAATCGTTGATTATGAATGTACATTCATATTACCTACATGAAAAAAACCTAAGTATACAATACATAACCTCACACACAATGATAACCTTCAATATGAAAAACATTTACATATCACTTTCTGTTGTCACGCTTTACACTGACATAAAACACACACCACCTATCCCCCAAAGCTTCTTACATGTGCACTAGACAACGTCTCACTAGCCAAATGTCTACATCAGCACAGACACCCACTCCAGTTACAATTTAGGATTTAACCAGTAAATGCGAAATTGACATCCATGCTATTGTACATTCCAATTCAGGGGCCAGGAAAGACCAGAGGAGCACACTTGTTTCGAACACAACATGCGACTATGCCAAGGGATTCAGCTCTGCCATGTCAATGACAAGAACACACACGGGACATCCTCGCAATGGACAGGAACTCTAAGTGTATTATTGGGCATTTGTGGAATCTCCACATACAAGTACATATATGTAAACGGACACCGCAGAATGCAATTATAAACGTGATACCTTTGCCGCTGTGATGTAGAGCTCCCGGAGCTGCGCTTTCAGGTCCGAGTTCATCTCCAGCTCCAAAATCGCCTGCAAGTGGCCCACCACAAACGTTAACATGTACAAGCCGACAAACAGAAGAGCTGCACACCACATTTCAGAATCGCACAGCATATCTAGAGTTTTGACCAAATCACCTGTAATGCGGTAAATTGAGTAGAGTTGGTTCAGGATTGTGCTTGGATGGGTGACCACCATGCACAGGTTGTCAAATAAGCTGCAAGTTTGGCGAGCAGCAGAGTTCAGAGCAGCAAACTCAATTGTTGTACTGTACTTTTAGGATCCTAATTATATGCTTCCTGTATTCATCAACCCGCAATGAGCAGTGAGGAAGTATGACAAAATAAACCCCATGACCAGCATGACGTGCAAAAGCCTTCATCCAGCAGTGGAATAAAAATAGGTTGCACACAGCACGTTTTACTGAAGCTCCTCATGCTTGCACTTAAAGACACCTCACCTGCGAAATTCCGGATTCGAACTCATCCGGCTTTTCGCCATTCGGCTTCACGATCTTTGCACTCGTGCTGTACATGATGGGAGCTCCTGTACGCAAAAGACACATAAAAAAAGAGCCACAATTAGCCCAATCGGATCACAAGCAGCAGACGCGATGGAGGACTGTATCTAATGTAAGGGATGGTCACGGCACACGGGATGGGGGTCGAACCAGAAACTTGCCACCTTTCAAATGTTTGGGGGTTTAATTCACGCTCGCCTGAGAAGGCCGAAGGGAGGTACGGGATAAGTTCAGATAACAACCGTCACCGACTCACAAATGCATGTGTTGTACTAACTTACACTCATATCCCCACACAACAAAATTACAGTATGTAACGTTGAAATTCTTTCGCACTGTACGTAGCCAACCGTGTATTCGGGCTAAGGCCCATTAAGCTACAAAGCGGCTTTTTAAACAATGCACCAACTCAGAACACACACACACACGCTAACACGTATCTACTGTACTCGCTTCCATACGAACTCACATACAGTAGACGTACAGTATGCACTCGCATCAGAGCCGACATACTCCACTAAGTGACATCACCGCAGAGCCGTGTCGTGCCAGGCTAGGTGCATGGCAAGTTACTTTCAGTTACACACACGTGGCTCATATACCACTTTAATTCGCAAACACGCACGTATGCACGCACCCACACTGTACTTTCACAGCCATCGACACACACGTACGTACACTCCCGTGTACACACAGACGAACACACAGACACTACAACACTCGAGATTTCTACCCGGCGTTCGCTACAATCGCCCGCAGTGTTGCGAATCGCTTACTCCCGCCATGGCGCTCGAGCAACCAAGCACCTCCCTGGCCGCCCGCCCGCCCACCCGCAATCCATCAAACATCTCTCGTCAAACTCCGCCATCCGCGTCCGTTTTACCGACGATCCGGTCAAACGAGGCCCCGCGAGCTTAGCCCCGCGCTCGTATTTGTCCATTCGCGTCGTCTTAGGGGCTACGAGACGCGGATTCTCAGTGCCACCATCGCCTCACCTCGCGGAGGCCGTGAGCAGAGGCCGCGGGGAGAAAGGAGAGAAGTCTCGCGAGATCTCGCCTTATATATAAAGTCGGGCGGGAGACTACGGCAAGCCGCCTGGTGTCCGAGACTGACACGAAAGGCGTTTTACGAAACGCGGGTTATCGCTGCGTTATTTTAAATTGAATGGTTATTACACGCTATTGCGCTCAGTTTAAGTAAATGCAACGCCTGCACATGTTTTGAACGCACCAAACGCTTGTTTACTGTGTTTGCGTGCTATCAGAGTGTTGTTTCTGATTTTTATTGAGTTGATTATTAGTTTACAGACAAACAATAATTACGGGTTTCTGTGCAGAATTATGAGGAAATGCACTTTAAGACAATACTCCATGCTCTGTCTCACTATATATAAATCGTATGTTTAGTCCATCAACTTGTTGGCTTTCCGGACACATTTAACCCAGCAACATTTGTTTCAGCAAGCAAAGCTCTGGACCAGTTTCGACCTTCTGGGTTTCATCAGCAGGGTCGGGCTTGTTAAGCAAACATCGCTTGATACTCTTAGTTTTTTTCGGTAAAGTCACGTAGGTAAAAACATTAAATTAAAGCTAATAAAAAATAAAATAATCATTTATTAATTTTAATTTCATTTTTTTACCTACGTGACTTTACCAAAAAACTAAGAGTATGAATCCTTGCAGTCACGAAAGCTTGAAATCTAGAAACATCGCTTGAGTTGCCAAAGGTTATTGGCAAGAGAATGTCATCTAAACCGTGGGGCCTCTGTACAACGCAAACATCAACATTGCACGCATTTTTGGTTAAAGACCTAAAATTGTCCCATCAGTCAACATTTCAGAAGAAATTAATTCTAGTTCACGAAGCCTGTCTTCGCCAGGCAAACATTTTCAATAAATAGAATAATTAATCTGATATACTGTATATGATTATAATATGGGGTTTTCCCTTTTTTTCTGGCAACAAAATTGGAAATTTTTACAAGGATTCATGTCTGCATTAACCACGATACTTGCAGTCATAATGCAAATAAAAAAACACTGATAATATATGCATTGTCCTTGAAACTGATTGGTACTGGCAAAGGAGGTCTAATCATCTGATATATTTTTTTTTTAATTTTCATCTACGATCAGACACTAACAACTTCAAAAAAATGTGAATTTTTTCGCAAAAAAAAAATTAAAACCCGTTGACAACATACTCTTTGGTTGTTTCGGTAAAGTCACAAAATAAATGACGACGTTTTGATTGCAACACAAGCAACCATCATCAGGTGGGAAAACCACAGCAATATTTTTTTTGCTGAAGTGGGCAAAATAAAATGTTTTGCTGAAGTGGGCAAAATAAATTCTTGCTGTGGTTTTCCCACCTGATGATGGTTGCTTGTGTTGCAATCGAAATGTCGTCATTTATTTTATGTTATTCTTCCACATCTTGGCTTGCGCCGAGAACAAAGGTTAGCACAGAGCATCGTCGTGGTGTCTCTGAGTTCTGTGTGGAGCGACTGCGTGGGGGAGAGTGAACGCGTTCGTGCCCACTGCGTTAGCGACAGCTGACGTAGTTGGCACGAACGTGTGGTATTCTCACTCCGTGTGGCTCCAAAGCCAGCAGCACGAGAGAGGGCCCCAGCGCTGGAGCCTGGCAGGAGCCAGAACGGGCGGTGGTTGTGGACGTCGGGCCCCACACTAACTATGTACCAAATTTCAGTTTTCTACCCTTGTCGGGAAGTACCCTAGAGGTTTTTGAGACGTACGGTTTGCTGTATGGTTTGTTCTGGATGATTATTTATTATAATTCTAGATTTGAAGCTTTCGTGACTGCAATGATTCATATTCTTAGGTTTTTTCGGTCAAGTCACGTAGGTAAAAACATTAAAAACTAAAATAAAATAATGTTTTTACCTACGTGACTTTACCGAAAAAACATAAGAATATATATTATAAGTTTTACATTTTTAATTTGTGCCATGGTTTGTGCAAATGCGGTTCGGGGTGGACCATAAGCTTCGTGGGAGATCAAAGCCAGGGATCTTCCCTTGAACAATCAAGGGAAGATTCCTGGAAGATCAAACCCCAGGCTGGCCAATGCAGACACCGCAGCACCACAGGCCACCAGCAGAGGACGCGTGTAGGACGAGCAGTGTTCACGCAGCCCAGCGAATCTCCCTATCCACCATGTGTATGTATACTCTTGGTTCTTTCGGTAAAGTCATGATATTGTTTTCTCCGAGACTAAGGTGCTCTGCAAACCCTCTGGCTACCATCAAAGGTTTGTACTACGAAGCCATTCAGATATACAAACACGGACATAATTTCAACCGTGATGATGGGTACAAACTTAGTCATCATTGGAAAGATGTTATCAACCATGCAAAAAAGATTTAATTACACATTGTTGGACCATCTTATCTGACAGGCACTATTTTACTTTACCGAGTGTTAACGTCCCTAACGTTTAACAGTACTATCTTTATTGTCAGCCAACATTGCTATAAACATGTGCATTTTCTTTCCTTTTCTATTATGTATATCCACAGTGACTTGAGCACAAACACGTCCTTGACCTCGACCACGCATACCCCGTCCCTCTGGCTACCACATTCTGATCAGCCCCTCCCCCCCCTCCTCCCTTAACTGGTACTTAAGAGCTTACATCTTGAATCCCTCACTTGATGCAGCTAATCTGGCTGTGACAGTCCCACCTGATGACGGAGACTTGTGTTGCCTCCGAAACGTCGTGATTTTTATTGTTTTATTTTAATTTCATTTTTTACCTACGTGACTTTACCGAAAGAACTAAGAGTATGAATCATTGCAGTCACGAAAGCTTCAAATCTAGAATGTGTATGTATGTTGAACTTCTTTAAAGCGCCGTACGTAACCAACCATGCTAATCGGAGGTGCGGGGGAAGGACACCAAACTAAACACAAAAAGCAGTTCGGAGTCACGGAATGTCCTCTTAACCCTCTAACAATGCAACTTCAATCCTGATGTCGATGCTGCAGATTGGGAAGCTGAATGGAGTTCACAAGAGGTCACAGACAAAACGCCTCGTCGTGATACCCTGAAGCTCATGGGCCACAATCCCTAAATCGCTATCCACACAAACCATGGCAGCAGCAGTAGATGCGGATACTTGATGATGAAAATTAAAAAACTCTCTGGTGAGTGTGCAGCAACTGTGGTCACCACCCAGCACACAACTAATGAACATATAACGACTCAACACCTGATTCATAAATACAAAGGAGGCATCGTGACAGCAGCGATGCACCACTTCGCTACTCCTGAAACAATCATCTGACTCAACCACTTTAGTGTATAATTACAATTGTTGCTCAACTTCAGCGATTATCAACCTTTTTTGGCTATCGTATCCCTTTTTGAATTTAGTTTCAACCTTGCCTGACCCATGATGGTTATTGAGAAATAAAGGTATGAATAATTAACGTAAATATTTTTTACTAATTGTCCATTTTTGTGAGGTATCCCAACTATCTAGTAACTGCAAGCAAATAGAAATCAACATACACTCTGCATGCATGAACTAGTTTGTTCACGCTACCCGGTTACTCTTGGAAACCACGTTGTTTACGATCAATGAGTTTAGAAAGGTTCTTTCTATGTTTCAAGGATGCCATATGGATTAAAATGTTATCGTAGTTATTTAATGTAGGCAGATTTATACGTGATTATTCACCAATGACTCACGTGTTTGATAAAATGTCACCCAGTTACTCATGATATTTGATTTTAAAATGAAGTTGGGTAAATTAACCCTGATTAAACTACCATAACCCTAAGATCTAAATGCCACCCCTAAAAAGAAACCTTATGACCGAGTGAAAAAAAAGTGTATGTTACGGTAAAATGAATCACTTTGTATTGCTGTCCTAGTATTTAGATCCGAGATAAGTGAATGCGTTTTGTCACCAGGGGTGGCGGAACTGGGTGGTCCGCGGAAATGTTTTGAATCGGCTGAGTGGTCCGCGAGCCAAAAGAGTTATGAGAAACACCGCTCCACATGAACATAAGGCCCATGAGTCGTCATAGGAGGAAGACAGCCCCAACGGGAGCACAGCTGCCCAGTAGAGGGCCCACTAGGGCTCAGCAGCAGCACGCGACTCAAGAGCAGGCAGGTCACCACTCAACTCCCTCCCAGGGTGATTGAATTCCCGTGTGCTATGAAGAAGGGCCATTTCCCGAAATGTCGCCTATTATATAATTGTGTTGAACACGTAGGCTTTCGCTACCAGTGTCATCCATAATACAGTTTTTTTTGTTGGGTTAGATCGCGTATATATATAAATGTGTCGTTAAACGCGCCACCACCCGACACAGCCAATTTAGTAAGGTTTGTCACGTAAACAAAACGTGACAATTCGTTACTAGTACAGCACACCGGTGTATGGGAGAGAAAAGCCACAACATTTACAATCTGAGTACGACGTTTCTCCAGTAATTACAACTAGCGTCACAAATCTGGCAGTCAACTGATTTTGTGCTTAGTTTGTTGTCCTTCTCCCGCACCCCCGATGAGCACGGTTGCCTATGTACGGGGCGAAAGAAGGTCAACAACTCAACATACATACATAGATCCGCGAATATACTCCACTTATCTATGGGAAATATATGTGGATAATTGGAGTAACTTTCTACTCAACTCCAATTATCCGCGCGTTGTTTGCAATTATGTGGGGTTTTGATATATTTTTCCCGAGTGCATGCCAGGGAGATTGGGAGATGACAATATTGTAATTTATTTTTACAGGAAAGCCTTGCTGAGTCTCAAGATGCTTATTTAGGAGGCAACTGTCCGAGCTCGTAAACAGTGATGAAGGCAAATTGACTCGTGGTGAACCGCCGTCAACTGGATCCCACGAGGAGATGAATCGTCACGGCCTAATGCCGTGTTCTTCACTCATTCTCAGAGTAGGGGCCACTTTCGCTGATAAGACATCAGTGTGAGGGCCGCCACATATTTGAAACCATTGGGTTTGACAGCAAGATGATGGGGGTGTTATCACGTGTTGTGTATTGTCAGAGGCCGCACATCAGGGGCCGCCA